CGACCATGAAAAGTTACTACAATGTGATGGACCTCGAACACAGGGTGCTCAGTGAGAGGAGCCAGACACAAAGTCCATTTATGTGGGATGCCCAGAACAGGCACATCCATAAAGAGACAGGTTAGTGGTTGTCAGGGCCTGGGGGAGGGGAAAGGGAATGACCTCTGATGGGGAAGGGGCTTCTTCTTGGGGTGGTGGAATGTTCTGGAACTAGAGGGAGGTGGTGGCTGCACAACATTGTGAATGTACTAACTGCCACTGAACTGTACACTTTAAAATGGTTAATTGTATGTGAATTTCATCAAAATAAAAAAATAAGGTAGCCGAAACCGGTTTGGCTCAATGGATAGAGCGTCGGCTTGGGGACTGAAGGGACCCGGGTTCGATTCCGGTCAGGGACATGTACCTTGGTTGCGGGCATATCCCCAGTGGGGGGTGTGCAAGAGGCAGCTGATCGATGACTCTCTCTCATCGGTGTTTCTAGCTCTCTATCTCTCTCCCTTCTTCTCTGTATAAAATCAATAAAATATATTTTTTTAAAAAATAAAATAAAAAAATAAGGTAATCAACCCTGGCCATTAAAGGAGTGATAAATGTCACAGCTAGTTCTCCTGACACCAATACTAATGCTGCAGACCTGCTAATGATCAGGTTAGGGTTCTGGTTCTGATCTACAGCCCCCACACCAGAGAGGTTCCGTGGCCATCGACTGTGATCAGCTGTGTGACCAGCAGGGACCCTTGATCTGATGGAATGAGAAAGGGTCTTGCCCTCAAAACCCATCACTTTGTCTAACTAACCCAGAGACAAACACCATGCAAACCCCAAGCAAAGAAAAATTCTATAAACTACCCAACCAGTCCTCAAGTCTGTCCAGATCACCAAAAACAAGGAAAGCCTGCCCAAACCAGTTTGGCTCAGTGGATAGAACGTAGGCCTGCGTACTGAAAGGTCCCAAGTTTGATTCCTGTCAAGAGCATGATCCCCAGTAGAGGGCGTGCAGGAGGCAGCTGATGGATGTTTCTCTCTAATCCATGTTTCTAACTTTCCCTTCTTCTCTGTTAAAAAAAAAAAAAAAAAAAAAAAAATCAATCAAACAAACAAACAAACAAAACAAGGAAAGTCTGAGGAACCATCACAGCCTAGAGAGGCCTAAGGCAACATGACAACTAATGTCAGGTGAGGTTCTGGGTCAGAAATGGGACATTAAGAGAAAACTAAAGAAATGTGAAAAACAGCTTGGCCAGCATGGCTCAGTGGTTCAGCATCGACCAGGAGGTTCCCAAATCGGGGGCTCAGTCCCCAGTAGTGGGCTTGCATGAGGCAGCAGAGCAATGATTCTCTCTCATCACTGATGTTTCTACCTCTCTCTCCCTCTCCCTTCCTTTCTGAAATCAATAAAAATATATTTCACACACACACACACACACACACACACTCACACACACACACACAGGACTTTAGGTAACAATAATAATGTATAAATGACAGATGTCCCACACTAACATGAGATGGTAACAAAGTAAAGTAGGTACCAGGCATTTCTCCATATTTTTTGCAACTTTTCTATAAATCTAAAACTAAACCTGTGTTAAAAAATAAGCAAAGTATAGGCCTGACCCATGTCCTTCCACCTGGTTACTGATCCCAACTAGGATGCTCTGCGTATGGAGGTGAAGGCCCAGGCCAACCATCTGCAGCTTCCATCTCCCAAAGCCCTGCATGTGTCTTACCTCCCAAAGTGGTTAGAATCTTTGTTGCATCTCACTGAAACTGAAACTGTATTGTTGTTTTTTTTCCTTTAATGGGAATTTTTTGCTCATGGAACTGAAAGGTCCAGGGATAGATATAAATCAGGGGTTTTCCCCTCAGCGTGGCTGACATTTGTAATCATGTTTCTTTCTTTTCTTTTTTTTTAAATGTTATTTATTTTAGAGAGAGAGAGAAGGTGAGAAGGATAAAGGGATAGATACATTGATGAGAGAAACATCAATTGGCGGCTGTCTACACGCACCCTGCTGGGGATTGAGCCTGCAACCTGGGCATGTGCCCTGACTAAGAATTGAACCAGAGACCTCTTGGCTTATGGGTTGATGCTCATCCACTGAGACACACTAGCTGGGCAGGATCAGATTTTTCTTTGTGTTGAGCACACCCCTGGCCCACACCCACTCAATGCCAGGAGAACCCCCAGTCATGGTAAGCACAAATGTCCCCAGACATTCCCAGTGTTCCCTGGGGGGTAGAATCACCCCTGGCTGAGACACATTGGCCGGCTAGTTTCAGGCTTGACTGGATCCAGGACCTTCAAACAGTGCAGGAAGATTCATCCATCTCTCCATTCTCTTGGCTCTGTCATCCTCTCTCTTGACTTTTTACCTCAACAGTCTCACTTCTTGTGGGGACAAAGATGGTGCCAGCAGTTCCATCTGCTTAACAGCTCAAGCAGGTCAACACTTCTTCCCAAAAAGAGGTAGCAAAAATTCAAGGGAAGGTTTTGATTGGCTCAACCTTGGTCACATGTCCTTGTTCAATCAATTGTTGTGACCAAGCAATGGAAAACTCTGATTGGCTAAGGTGGGGGTCACACAGTTAAATGGACTTACCCTATGATGTAAGTCAGTGCGAAGTATGCAGTTAGCCATTAGGGTGAGAACCCTCTGGACTGGATTGGAAGCATGGGAGTAACCCTGGGCAGAAAATTCCGGGTGCTTAAAATGTTAAGTATAGAATCACCATATAGCCGAAACCAGTTTGGCTCAGTGGATAGAACGATGGCTTGGGGACTGAAGGGTCCCGGGTTCGATTCCGGTCAAGGGCATGTACCTTGGTTGCGGGCATATCCCCAGTAGGGGGTGTGCAAGAGGCAGCTGATCGATGACTCTCTCTCATCAATGTTTCTAACTCTCTATCTCTCTCCCTTCCTCTCTGTACAAAATCAATAAAATATATTTAAAAAAAAGAATCACCATATAATCCAACAGCTCCACTCCTTTCAAATTCAGAGAACTGGAAGCAGGGACTTGAACAGATACTTACCTGTACATGACTATTCACAGCATCCCGATTCACAAAACCTAAAGGTGTATCCATGGACAAATGAATGGACAAACAAAACATGATCCATCCATACAGTGGAATATTAGTCAGCCTTCAAAAGAAAGTACAGACCAGCCAGGGTGGCTCAGTGGTTGAGCATTGACCTATGAACCAGAATGTCATCATTCGATTCTGGTTAGGGCACATGCCCGGGTTACAGGCTTGATCCCCAGGGTGGGGGGGGGGGCATGCAGGAGGCTGCCAATCTATGATTCTCTCTTATTATCAATGTTTCTATCCCTTTCCCTTCCTCTCTGAAATCAATAAAAATAAAATTAAAAAAATAATAAATCCTATATAATAAAAGAGTAATATGCAAATTAAATACCAGGAGTGATACAGGCACAGAAGCACTTTGCAGGTGGTGGGCAGGGGTTGTGGGGAGTAGTCTGAAGCTCAGTCAGTTGGGACTATGAGAAATGGTTACAGAGATGCAGGGAAGTGACCAAACTGCAGAACTGTTTAAGAGGCTGCCTGGACCCTGGTCGGGTAGCTCAGTTGGTTAATTAGAGCATTGTCTCAATACACCAAGGTTGCAGGTATGATCCCCAATCAGGGCATAACAAGAATCAACCAATGAATGGATGAATAAGTGGAACAGCCCTAGCCAGTTTGGCTCAGTGGATAGCATCGGCCTGCAGACCAAAGGGTCCTGGGCTCAATTCTGGTGAAGGGCACATACCTTGGTTACAGGCTCCTCCCCAGCCTGGGCCCTGGTTGGGGAGTATGCAGAAAGCAACTAATCAATGTGTTTATCTCATATCCATATTTCTCTCTGTCTTTCCGACTCTCTTCCACTTTCCCTAAAAATCAAGGGAAAAATATCCTCAGATGAGGTCTGACAAAAAACAATCAAACAATAAAAGTGGAACAACAAATTGATGTCTCTCTTTCTCCCCTTTCTCTCTAAAATAAAAATATATATTTATATATTTTAAAAAATAAAAAAGATGCTGCCTGGGTTCAAACCCTGTGACCACAGTGTCTTTGGGCCTCAGTTTTTCAGTGAGAAGGCAGGAATGGAGTGTTTAGGGCTCGGGGCCTGATGTGCAGAGAGTTGGAAAAGGGAAGTCACATGACAGAGCCTGGAGGCCAGTGCTTGTGGGGAGGACCCAGGCAGGCAGAAGATGCAGCTGCCTTCAAGGGGCTTCAATCCCATGTCAGGGCAGAGTTACCCGCACAGCTTCCGGGGTGTAAGGGACAGCACACTGCTGGAATCACATTTGGGTCCCCAGAACTGCAAAGCCTCTGCATGGTCAGCGCCCCCATCAGGATCCTGGGGGACCACCAGCTTATGGGGACGTGAAGTGAGCTCCTGAAAGAGAAGAGGCAGCTGGGCATGCGGTGGAAGTGGGGACTATCAGGGTTCTCTCCTGAGTCCTCACCCACCCACATCCATGGCCATGAGACTGCTGGCTGTGCCTCTCGGAGCCTCAGTTTACCCATCTGTGACATGAGGACAATAAAAACCCACTGCAACATCTCTAAAGATTGAACGATTTTTAAAAAAATACCTAAAGCACTTCCTACAGCGCCAGGAAAATTAGTTCCTCCCACCCCAGCAAGGAAGGGGGCTTTTCTGCGGCAATGACAGGTGAGGAAATTGAGGCAGGAGAGTGAAAAGGCGAGGCTACAGACCTGGAGGGCTCTCAGCTGCTATGCCCAGTTTGCCAGCAGGCGCTGGAGGTTCAGCGAGGAGCGGGGAGTCCGCCGAGGCCCGGCCCAGGCGGAGCCGCCTTCTGCTTCCCAGCCGCTAGAGGCCACTGGAGTCCTCGCGCAGGTCCTCACGCCACGCCCCGGCCACGCCCCCGCCCGTCACCGTCACACCCCCGGCCCAGAAGGCCCTGCAGGGACCAACCCTTCGCCTCGGCTGCACTCAGGGTTCCCCGTCCGCCTGCAACATGAGCGCCCCCGCCGCGACCCCCATCTTCGCGCCCGGAGAGAACTGCCGGCCTGCGTGGCTGGCGGCGCCCGCGTCCTACGACGCGTCGGACATGCACCTGCAGATCCTGGGCAAGCCGGTGATGGAGCGCTGGGAGACACCCTACATGCACGCGCTGGCGGCCGCCGCCGCCTCCAGAGGTAGCTCCGCGTCCTGCCCGAGGGTGACCAGACTCATGCCAGCCAGCTCTGTGGCTGGTGCACGTCCGAGCCTCTCCTTGCCTCTTTCCTCGCCTGGAGAATGGGGCTGCTAACGGGGGCAATGGGGGACTAAAAGGGGTGCTACATGCACAGGGCATGCACCCAGTAGGCGCCCCCTAAGTACTGAAAACTTCCTCTCCAGGAGAAATGAGGTCCCCCCCCCTCTCTGAGATCGGGAACAGGGGGCCTGGCGGAGGTCGCTGCCCAGGGGCACGTGGGGAGTGTCCCTGCGCTAGACACCCCACCCGCCCCAGCTAAGAATAGCTCTGGGAAAGCTGAGGCTGGGAGACAGCTGTGAGGGTGGCCTTGCCCTCTGGTGTCAGGGCCCTGAGTGCTCAGGTCCCCCAGGGGCTGGGCTGGTGGTCTGTAGGCCTCTGGTTGTAGTGCAGTGGGCACCACCCCCACCTCCGCCCCAACTGTCCCAGGCCCTGGCCTGGAATCCCGGTCCTCCCTTGCTCTTCTTTTGTGAACTTCATTGTGGGGACGGTGGGAGGGCGAGAGAAAAGTAACCAAAAGATAAGCTGCACTGGTGGCATGCCATCAGTGCCACTGGTGTACAGAGTCAGGCTCAAAGTCCAGGTTTGGACCCCTCCCCCCACCCCCTCAAATACCCGACCCACAGCTGCTCTGCTGCCTCCCTGGCAGGTCATCCCTTTTTGGCCGCTGGCCAGGGTCCACACTGTTCCTTCCCAGGGCCACTGTGTCCCTATGTCCGCTGTGCCCTCCTGTCCTCGTTTCTCTGCCAAGGCGCTGCCCGAGCCGCCTCCTCCAGGCAGCCTCCCCAGCCCCCGCCTCTTGTGTGCCCAGGGGGCCGGGTCCTGGAGGTGGGCTTTGGCATGGCCATCGCAGCAACCAAGGTGCAGGAAGCGGCCATCGATGAGCACTGGATCATTGAGTGCAACGACGGTGTCTTCCAGCGGCTCCAGGACTGGGCCCAGCGGCAGCCACACAAGGTGCTACCCCTGCCTGCAGGCCCCCCTCGCACTCCTGGGCAGTCTCCGACATGGGATGGGGGCTGCAGGGGGTGGGGGTGGGGAGGGGAGGGAGGTATCCTCCCTTGGGAATTCCTCTGCCTCCTCCTTACAGTGGAGAAGTCCTGGGCATCCCTCTGACCCTCAGCCTTCTTTTTCTCCCGCCTCAAGGTGGTTCCCTTGAAAGGCCTGTGGGAAGAGGTGGCACCCACCCTACCAGATGGTCACTTTGATGGTGAGGGGACTGGGCACTGGGTGAGGGGGAACCTCTGCCTGAATTTCCTCATTTGCTGAGGGACCTTTTAAAGAACACATGGGCCGAAACCGGTTTGGCTCAGTGGTAGAGTGTCGGTCTGCAGACTGAAAGGTCCTGGGTTCGATTCCGGTCAAGGGCATGTACCTTGGTTGTGGGCACATCCCCTGTAGGGGGTGTGCAAGAGGCAACTGGTCGATGTTTCTTTCTCATCGACGTTTCTAGCTCTCTAGCTCTCTCCCTTCCTTTCTGTAAAAAAATAAAATATATTTATAAAAAATAAATAAATAAATAAAGAACACATGGGCTGACATGACTGGGCCAACTGAGTCTGGGAAGGGGGCACAGACACACAGGAGACCGGACACTCAGCAGGATACCTAAAGGAATCACTGGATTGCACACCACCTAGAGGTGGTGGCAGCATAGTGAGCCTGGGGTATGGCTGCTGGGGTTCCCAGGCCATGTTCAAGTTCCACCTTCATGTGGAGCCATTGTCCTGGTGCAGCTGGCCCTGGCCCTGACCATGTGACTTCCATCCTCCCATGCAGGGATCCTGTACGACACGTATCCACTGTCTGAGGAAACCTGGCACACGCACCAGTTCAATTTCATCAGGGTAGGACCTCACGGAGGGATAGGGTCTGCAGCCACCAGCGTGGGAGTTCAGCTGGGAGGGCATCTGCCACCCACACAGGGCGCCCCTCCTTCCACCTGGATCTCTGATCTCCCTCCCCACCTCTGTCCCCTCTCAGGGCCATGCTTTTCGCCTGCTGAAGCCTGGGGGCATCCTCACCTACTGCAACCTCACCTCCTGGGGGGAGCTGATGAAGTCCAAGTACTCCGACATCAGGACCATGTTTGAGGTGCAGCAGCCTAGCTCCCTGGGCCTCCCTTCCCCACCCACTCCGGGCAGGTTGGGGAGGCAGCTGCAGTCACCTTGGACCTGGGGAGGTTCCTTGCTTCCGGACTGCTCTTGGGTGGATTGTGCGCTCTGTGTGGAAATCAGGCGAGGTACTTCCCAGTGCCCTTGGGACATAGGACTCACCCAAGCTCTCCGCCTGGCTGCCAGGCCCCATACTCCTCCCTAGGCCTTCCTCTCCCAGGGTGTCCGTTAGTTCAGGGCCTTTGACCAAACTCTGCCTGCAGGGGGAGCAGTTGGGCAGCCAGCTGCTGCCAGAGGCTACAGCCCTGGGGGCCTTGGCATTAACAATGCTGTGCCAGGAAGGGTAGGCACCGGGTGTGTGTGAGGCCTGGACATAACTTGGCACTTCCCTGTCACAGGAGACACAGGTGCCAGCGCTGCTGGAGTCGGGCTTCCGCCGGGAGAACATCCGCACACAGGTGATGGAGCTGGTCCCGCCGGCTGACTGCCGCTACTACGCCTTCCCCCAGATGATCACGCCCCTGGTCACCAAGCACTGAGTCTGTGCACCGCCTCGGAGTGCCTTCCTGGCCAGGAGCCCAGGCTCTGGCTTCAGCCCAGGTTCTAGGTGAAGCATCACCAGCTGTAAGACCCAGCTACCTTCCCTAATCTCTGTAGGAGTACCAGTCTCAGCCTCCTCCTGGGGTCACAGGGATGAAATAAATGCTAACACTAGGCTGGCATTAGCACACGTTGCAAAAGTGCTCTCACTTACTCCCCGGAAAAGAAAAAGGAATTTGTTGCAGGCTTGTGCCAATCAGTTGGTTGAGTGTCCCATGCACCAAGATTCCTGGTCAGGGCACATGCCTGGGTTGTGGGCTCGAACCCCAGCAGGAAGTGTGCAAGAGGCAGCGGAGGGGTGTTTCTCTCTCATCAGTGTTTCTATTTCTCTCTCTCTCTCTCTCAAATCAATAAAAATACATTTAAAAAAAATGTTATTGGAATTTCAGGGATCCAGTGGGCAAGCTATATATATGCTCCATTGTGTAAGTCAGTGAATCCAATCCTGCCCAAGGGAGCCATCACCAATCAATCACCTATACAGTCCTGTCCCTCAGCCGTCCAGGGCTGTTGCCCCTCCCTCCCCTGTGTTTGGCACTTGGTGTCTAGGGAGGGGGTGCAGAACTAGGTCGGACTGCAAGGAGGGTAGCAGCTCTAGGCCCAAGTCCTCAGGCTACTGAGGAGGATTTTCTGGTCCCACCAAGTCAGGCTGAACTTCAGAATGAAGCAGAATTTTACATCTGGACTCTCACCGGACCCTCAGCCACTCGTGAAGGGCAGGGTCACTTACTGAGGCCGGACACTCTCCCACTTTCTTATTTCCTCTGACTCAACGTCCCCTTCAGTCTCAGTGCAGGGGCAGCCCAGCCCCCACCTGGCTCCAGGCGTTGTTCTGGGCTCTCCTCCTTCATGGCGGGGCCTTGGGAGACCAGGTGTAGGGTCCCTAGGAGGGGCTGGTGTGGACCGAGCCATCTGCCTGCAGGGCCTCAGCATCTCTAAGGACTGACCCTGACCCAGGAAGCACTTGCCCACCTACACCCAGCACAAGGGCACCTCTCTGCTTCCCAGGACCCCTGCCCATACACCCTGAGGGCAGGCTTCCGTGTCAGTGCATTTCTCAGGTTTATTGACCATCTCTCAGGATGAGGAAGAGGATACGGGGTGGCAGTCGGTGGCACTACCTTCGATACCAGATCTTGATTCTCTTCTCTCGCTTGATTTTCTTCTGCAGCTGCAGGATGCCATAGAGCAGGGCCTCGGCGGTAGGTGGGCAGCCTGGGGGCGGGACCTTGCCTCAGTGTCTGCCCATGGGGAGCGGGCCCACAGCTCTGGCTCTGCCAGGAGCCCTTGACCAGTGACCGGATCTGGGCCCTACTGGAGCACCACCCCTCTCTCTGCTGCCTGGCAAAGGGCACATGAAACAGATGGTCAAAAGGTCCAGCTGTGGGCAGCAACTACAGGCCACACGGAGCAGAAAGGCCTGGGCTACCCAGGGCCCTAGGAAGAGTGACCTGGGAGCCGCAGGTGGGCTAAGGGCTGCTTGACCCCTTCCCGTGGTGGGAGGGCTGAGAAGGACCCTCACCCCAGCATCCAAAGAATACACAAAGGGGGTGGGTAGTTTGGCCCATCACTGGAAGTAGCCAGCAAGGTGGGCAGGGTGGGGAGGCTCACTCACTGAGAAGGAAATTCCCAGAGTCTCCAACCTGAGTATCTCAGGTGGAAAAAGCAGAGAAACACTTTGCCACCTAAAGGACGGCCAGGACCTGACAGGCCTGCCACCTCGGGAGACTGGATGGAGAACTGTCAGTCATTTACTTCCAGCTGACTCTGGGGTGCTCAGTGCCTGACAGTATGATCACAATGGCCATTTGGTAGATGGGGAAACTGAGGCATGGAGAGATCTGCCTGAGGTCACGGTCAAACAAGCAGTGACTGACTAAGGGTCTGGCTCCTGGTTAAGGTTAACAAGCCGGCAGGGTAGACATCTATGCATCTTTCAAAGTCCTACACAATAGGGGGGGTGGGGCACGTCGGTGTCAGGCTCCATCCCGCCAACCTGGGGTTCCCCAAGGCCTGGACCTTTCTAGGGCCAGTGCTGCCCAAGCCAGGCCCAGGCCTAGAAAATGCACTCAATATCTGCAGCCCAGCCGTTCTGGCTCAGTGGTTGAGCATCAACCTGTGAACCCAGTTCGATTCCCAGTCAGGCAAATATCCCAGGTTACGGGCTCGATCTTCAGTGTAGGGCATGCTGGAGGCAGCCGACCAATGATTCTTTCTCATCATTGATGTTTCTCTCTCTCTCCCCCTTTCCCTTCTTCTGTGAAATCAATAAAAATATATTTAAATAAAAAGAAAATAATCTGCCAAAACCAGTTTGGCTCAGTGGATAGAGCATCGGCCTTCAAACTGAAGGGTCCCAGGTTCGATTCCGGTCAAGGGCACGTACCTTGGTTGCAGGCACATCCTCGGTGCGAAGTGTGCAGGAGGCAGCTGGTTGATGTTTCTCTCTCATCAATGTTTCTAGCTCTCTATCCCTCTCCCTTCCTCTCTGTAAAAAAATCAATAAAACATATTTAAAAAAGAAAAGAACCTGATGTTCAAGATTAAAAATCAATCAATCCATAAATAAATATTTGCAGAATGCTAAATTAATCAATGTTATTTTCCAGTGAGGTCTAATGTGGAAACCTGTTTCTCTGCCTTTGGGAGGTGCCAGTACATGCCCAAGAGGCCACCCTCTGCTCACTGGCCCAGTGAGGAGGCAAGGGAGTTCTGCAGGACGGTCCGATAAAATACAGACACCCAGTTACATGTAAACTTCAGACAAACCACTGATACTTTTTTTTAGTATTACTATATCCCAAATGTCATGAAATATATTTATAATGAAAAAGATTATTATTCATTGTTTCTCTGACATTCAAGTTTAATTGGGTCCCCGCATTTGTATTTGCTAAACCTGGACACCCTAGTTATCTAAGCAGGGTGGGGTCTCACCACCCATCATGAATATGAGACCTCGCAGACACTGTTCATGTCCTCCAGGAACTTTTTCCTATTTTTTAATTGCATTTATTTGGTTTGGTTTCTAATAGGTGGAATCATATAACACTGTAGCTTAAAAATGGCCAAATATCAGCAATTTTGTACAGCTCAACCAAACACTTTTCTTTTTCTTTTTAATATATTTTTACTGATTTTTTACACAGAGGAAAGGAGATAGAGAGCTAGAAACATTGGCCAGCTGTCTCCTGCACACCCTCCATCGGGGAAGTGCCTGCAACCACTGTACATGCCCTTGACTGGACTCAAACCTGGGACCCTTCAGTCCGCAGGCCGACACTCTATCCACTGAGCCAAACCGGTTTTGGCTCAACCTAACCCTTTTGATGTTGGCCTGGTCCAACATCTGGATGAAACTGGGGAGCTCATGAAGGACAAAAAGGAAAGACTGGTGTCACTCTTCTTAGACCCAAATCTGTTCTCTTCCCCCCCTCCAAAAAAATATATTTTTATTTATTTCAGAGAGGAAAGGAGGAGAGAGATAGAAACATCAATGAGAATCATTGATTGGCTGCCTCCTACATGCCCTGACCTGGAATCGAACTGTGACCTCCTGGTTCATAGGTCAATGCTCAACACTGAGTCACGTCGGCCAGGCCAAATCTGCTCATTCCTAACACAGGGAGAGCCCACCATGTCTACAGGGGCACAGGGATTCCTTTGTGGGGCCTGAAGGCCTGGATGCCCGGAGACGAGGCAGTGGGCTTACCTGGGACGTAGATGTCCACGGGCACGATGCGGTCACAGCCCCTCACGACGGAGTACGAGTAGTGGTAGTAGCCTCCTCCGTTGGCGCAGCTGGAGTGGGAAGAGTGCTGTGAGGGCCCCTCGGGCCATCCTCAGGGCCCTTCCCCTAACCCACACCCTCCTTCAACTGCAGGCAGGTGCCTAGGCTGCCAAAAAGGACAAGAGGGATATGAAGTCTAGGAAAGACAGCAGTCACCTGAGACCAGGAAGAACAGAAATGAATGGATGGGCCTTGGAAACATGTTGCTCAGTGAGGAGCCGGGCACAAAGGCCACACAGTGTGTGATTCCCTTTATATGAAACGTCCAGAGCAGGCACGGGACAGGAAACGGGAGCATGGTTGCCAGGGGCTGGGGAGGAGGGTGGGAGTGAGTGCTGATGGGTGGACGGGGCTTATTGTTGGGATAATGGGACAATCTGGAACTAGACAGATGGGATGGTTTTATACATTGTGAATGCATTAAAGTCCACTAACTGCACACTTTAAAAGGGTGAACTTTCTGATATGTGAATTCTATCTCAACAACAACAAAAAAGTGATTAAACAGGTTTTAACAAAGTAGAGAATGACTGTAAGTTAAAAAGGCAAGGAGAATGTAAACTGTCTACAGAGGGTGATATCATTTATGTATGCATAAAGAAACGGACAAATCAGATGGGGGAGCAATAATAATCCATAGGAAGAGACACTCTGGGGAGGGGAAGTGCACACAGCAGAGTGTCAGAGTCACTATTCGGCTTCTGCAGGTGTGGGATTTTACTGAATATAAATTATACCTCCATGACCTTGGTCAGACAGAAGCCCAGATAAAACACTGGGAGGAAACACAAGTGTCACAGGTATGTCTCGTCCCTGAAGCCAGATTATGGCCCCAGCCCCACCGGAACTCACCTCCCCATGGACACAACATAGCGCGGCTCTGGCATCTGGTCATAGACCTGGAAGAGATGACAGGGTCTCTGTCAGCTCAGTCCTGGGCGGGGGAGGGGTGGGTGTGGGGCCGGACCTACCTTGCGGAGTGCGGGGGCCATCTTGTTGGTGAGTGTCCCGGCCACAATCATGACATCTGACTGGCGTGGGCTGGCTCGGAAGACCACGCCAAAGCGGTCCATGTCATAGCGGGGTGCTGCCATATGCATCATCTCCACTGCACAGCAGGCCAGGCCGAAGGTCATAGGCCACAGGGAACTCTGAGGGGGCCAGGGTGGTCAACCCGTGAGTGGACAGTTGGACCATCATGTTTAAAGAAATTGGGCAATTTCTCATAGAAAAACAGGTTTCTAGCCTTTCTTGAAGAACGACACATCAGCTATTCCCATCATCTTCCCCGTACAGCAACCATGTGACCGCCAGGCCCCTCAGACCTAGCGTGAGCTTGCTGCTTGCCCCAGCGCAGGGCTGCCCAATGAGAAGGTAAGTAGGGTAGGCCTGTAAGTCAGCACTTACCAATAGTCACATTACAAAAAAAAAAAAAAGGTGTCCTGGCCAGCATCCCATGCATGGAAAGGTAGCTGGTTCATGCCTGAATTGCAGGCTTGGACCCAGTAGGGGACACACAGGAGGCAGTTGATAGATGTTCAGCTCTTGCATCAATGTTTCTCTTTCTCTCTCCTCCCTTCCTTCCTCTAAAAAAAATAAAAACAGCCCTAACCAGTTTGGCTCAGTGGATAGAGCGCCAGTCTGAGGACTGAATGGGCCCAGGTTCAATTCTGGTCAAGGGGTACATGCCTGGGTTGTGGTCTCAATCCCCAGTAGGGGGCATGCAGGAGACAGCCAATCAATGATTCTTTCTCATCAATGATGTTTCTCTCTCCCCCTCTCCCTTCCTCTCTGAAATCAATAAAATATTTAAAAAATAAATAAATTTTAAAAAAAGATAAAATTAGTTTTAATACACTTAGTGGTATTAGGATGTAACCTAGTACACCCTAAACCCCATTCTTCCAACGTGGGCACTTGCTGCTCTGAGTGCCTGGCAGCCACATGTGGCGTAGGCCTAACCCTGAGGATCTTGTTCTGTACACCCCCCGGTGTCCAAGAACTCCAAATGCCGATTCCTCCAGGAAGTCCTTCTGGATGGCCTTAAGCGCCCTGACTCCTTTATCTGATTGGTGTCTGATTTTCCCACGGCTGTGCTCCTTGGCTAGAGCTATCTCTGCTCCTCTGCTTAGAATCTGGGACTATGAAGTGGCCCCCACTGCCCTACTAATGTGCTAGTGGGGTGACAGTACAAGGGTTGCCCAACAGGCTAGGCCACCCGAGTGACCTCGTCTCTGGGTGTTCACAGTCATAAACAAGGCTACAGTGGACATCTCTGTCCTGGAGCTGGAGCTCTAGCAGGATGTGTGCTGTGGTGCTGTGTGCGACACAAACACAAAAGACTGGGCGAGTGCAGAGCCATCAATGAGGGGTTGTTAACGTGGCCTGTCCAGCCCAGCACCCCCTGGGCACTGAAAGGAGCCTCTGTCTTGGGAGACAGGACATACGTCCAAAGGGAGACATGTCATGCACACGACCTATGGGAATGGATACAAGACAAAAACTGTGCTCGTGGCTGATGGTAGGGGCAGGGCAGGCTTTTAAATTTTTTTGCCAGGAAGGAGTTACTGTTTTCAGCACACATTACTTTTCTAGCCAAGAAGATTACTTTTACATTAAGAGACAAAAGAGGCATGAACAGAAGACAACTATAGAAGGGAAGTGGGCAATCTTCACTGAGGACTGAGGGAGAGACAAGGGGATGGGACAGAGACACTGAGGGAATGTCAGAGCCAGGAGCTGGCGGGGCAGGGGGTGCAGAGGATGAATCCTGACATAATCACGAGCCTCTTGGGCTCCCTGAACCACAGGGGCAGTGAGCGTGCGTGCTGTACATGTGCACAGTGTGCAAGCAAAGAGCAGAGGGTGGAGAGATGGAGGAGGGGTGGGGGCTCACCCGGCGGGCCCAGTTGATGAGGTCGTCCAGCTTGGTCACCACATACTCGCCCCGGCTGCTAGGAAGCGAGCTGGGTTTGGGGACCACGGCTCCAGTCTTGGACGAGACAGGCTGTGTGCTGGGAATGGGACACGGCACAGGGAGGTGTTAGTCAGGCAGGAGTCCCAGGAAAGAAACACTGGCTACCCCCACAGCCTCTACCCTGTAACCTAACGGAGAGCAGCTCTCAGAGCACAGGTCAGAGCTGTGGTCACAGCTGGTCCTGAGGGCGGTAATGGGAGGAGCCACGGGGCCAGGGATTACCGTACCCAGGGGCCGGAGCATCTCAGCACCCAGGTCTGGGTCTGCTGAACAAAGGAATGAAAGATGGCAAGGATGTGCCTCAGGCTGCCTTGCTATGGCTCCAAGAGGCCCGTTTTCTCAGGAACTCAGTGTCCTCATGTGGAAAACAGGGGCCAACTGACACACTCTTCAGCAAAGGCCCTTCTGGACTGGGATGTGCAGCCACTGGTCAGGACAGAGCTCCCAGGGCAGGGACCTCAGAGCTCCGCGGCATGTGGGAGGGCCCTGCAGTTACCACGGGTTCGACTGTGCTGGGGCGGGGGGGTTTCAGGGTGTTCGGGCCACGGGGAAGCTGGCCTCACCTGCTTGGACTGTCAGCAGCCAAACTGGCATGGACACATCGTACCTGAGCAGCCGCGCCCACGCCCGAGCTGCAGAGAGAGAGAGAGAGCACACATGAAGAGGAGCCTGGAACATCCTGAGATGCTGCTTCAGGGGCTACCCTGTAGCAGGGATGGGGCTAGTGGCCAAATTTGGCCCTCCACCTATTTTTGTTAATTGTCACCCAAGGATATTTTTCCACTGATTTTTAGAGAGAGGAAGAAAGAGGGAGAGACAGAGATAGAAGCATCGATGTGGCACCATCAATTGATTGCCTACCAGATGTGCCCTGACTAGGGATGGGGGTTGAACCTGCGATCAAGGTATGTGCCAAGGTATGAATCCAGGACCCTTTGGTCCCCAGGCCAACATGACCCAAACTGGCCAGGGCCACCTATATTTGTAAATAAATTTTACTGACACACAATCACACTCATCTGTCCCTGTGCTGTCTGCAGCTGTTTTCACAAAGGCACAGCTAAGCAGTCTCCACAGAGGTCATCTGGCTTGTACAGCCAAAGACATTTACCATCTGACCCTTCACGGACAAAGTGCCTGGTTTTCATTCGACACTTCTTTCTTTTTCCCCCTTTCCCTTCATTTTACAGTGAATAAGTATTTTACCTCTGGGGAAAAGACTTTATCAAACCAAACCGCATTCAGCCCAAATCTGTGCCCACCTCCAAGCCCCCCGACTTCTCTCCACGAGGAAAACCCTCTCCTTAAGTCTGCCATGCCCCGGATCCTATGGACCTGGGCTTGATGTCCAGGCTCTGTCCATAACGAGGCCCAGTGGCTGCCTGCCTTCCTGTCCTGAAGAGGCCTGCATGGGGTTGTCACCTGAGCAAACGCACTGATTACTTTTGGTAGAAGTGAGTCCCGAGGGCACTAGGACAGGTGGACAAGGGTCCGAACCCAGGCTCTGCCACAACATGGACAGAGGAGCCAGCACACCACCTGCTGGAGGGCAGCTGCCAGTGCCAGTGCTGCCCCTGACTCGTGTGTGTGTGTGACCTTCAGCAGACAGGACCCCGTCTGTAGTTGCTCAGCCCTTCCCAGTTCAGAGGTATTCTGATCCCATCTCCCCTCCCAGTCTAAGCCCTCCCTTCAAGGGCCTCTGGATGGAGGCCAGGGCCAGAGACGGAGACACAGGCACTCACCGCAGAGCAAGGACTGGGCGGAGCAGGCCGGGAGCTGCAGAAAGAACCACAGGGTGCGGGCAGTGAGTGTTGGATAGCACCAGAGGCCTCAAACTCAGGGGCCTGGACCAGCCAGGTCTTTGCCCATCAGACCTCCTGCCTAGTCACCTTCCCTCTACCCTCGGTCTATCTAAATTCTACTTTAACCTACGTTTGGTAAAGAGGGGTCTTTCAGAATATGAACAGGGTAGTGCCAATCCCCTAATTAAAACCCCACCACCCCAGGGAGAAAAGCCAGGCTCCACACCAGGGCCATCTTCCCGTCCTCACAGTCCGGAGCTGCCTTCGTGCTTATTCTGTCTGCCTGGAGCCGGCCCCACAGGCGCACAGGCCAGCCCCTCTCAGGGGCAGGTCTCACTTCTCAGGGGGTCTGCAGCAGCGCCCCGCCCCCCAGGCCCTCTCAATCCTGGCACCCTGTCCCATCACCACCTGTTCCTATTGGGGTGGTGCCTGCCTCCTCAGCACTGGTAGGGCCTCCTGGTTCCTGACGGCCTCAGCCTTGGGTGGTGTGTGTTGAGCATGGAAGGCAGGCTAACTGCCCAGCCCCGGACTCCTGTTCGAGCTGCCCCTTTCTGAGCCTCAGTTGCCCCATGTGAAAATTTAGGACTTTGCATAAATTTCCAGCTCAGTAAATGTCCGGTGAACTTGCACAGGAAAGAATACCCTCCTTGTCACCGTCTTACTGGAAACTGGCCTTTCTTTCAATTCTGCGTCACCAACCAACCACAGGACCACTACTGGCAGGGTTTTCGAAAGCAGAAATCACGGACGTTTCCCAATGGTGTCACCAGGGCTGCAGACACCTTCACCCATCCTTCTAAACCAGTGTTTCCCCAACTTTTGACATATGTGTACCCCTTCTATAATTTTCGTAACGCTGAGTACCCCTCGTACTCATGAGAAAGTGGAATTAGGTGCAGCTAAGCACGGTGCAGTGCATATCCCCACCAAACTCCGGTGCAACACGTACCCCCACCAAACTCTTCCCGTACCCCTGGGGTGCGCGTACCACACTTTGGGAAACACTGCTTTAACCCACAGTAATCGGACCTGCCGCTGGATTTCGGCGTTAATACCCAAGCACAATGAGCGAGGAACTCATCAACCCGGCTTAGAGACAAAATCCTGACAACTGTCTCGGGATAACTGCTTTCTTTTGCAACCCAGCGGGTTTCATCCTACGCGTTTAATCACTAATCTGGGGACGCAGGTTCCGGGAGCGAGCGAGGCGGGACGCCGGCAGTTCTGGCGCCCCTCCCGGCCTCAGCTCCCCGCCGGTCCGGGAGGCAATCTCAGGCCCCCTCTCTCTCGGGAACTTCCAGGGCAGCTCCCCGGGGCGAACCCTGGGCCCTTCCAGGGCCCGCTCCGGGGCCCTCCCGAGGCTGGGGTTCCTGCGTCGCTACCCGGACCTCAGTTTCCCCAGGGGGCCCTGACCTAGGCGCCCCGACCCGCTCACCAGCCAACGCAGCCATCTTGGCCTCGGCCTTCAGATAACCTCTGCAGTCCGTCCGTTTTAGCGCTCCGAGTCCCGGGGGCCGTCACCCAAAGCGGTTCGACTGCTGAGGGAAAACGGAACCCAGGCTCAGAAGGTTCCGCCTCTGTGGACGTCCCCCACACAGTGCGCCCCCAAGCCCTCACGAGGGATAAAAGGACAGGGGAATCCGTCTCCCAATAAGCAGGCGCCCGCACAAATTTTTCCTTACTAGGAAAGCAAAAAGAAGATTGCGTCCCTGGGTGGGCTCGAACCACCAACCTTTCGGTTAACAGCCGAACGCGCTAACCGATTGCGCCACAGAGACCGAGCTGCATTTTTGCTTCAGACGCGACCTTACAAAGCGTGTGCGGTCGGTAAACGCAGGACGAAACACGCCTGCGCGCCGGCTAAATGGGTAAAATGGACTATAGGGACCTTTCCACTCACCGGAACAAGCTTATTTGGAAAAGCGCTGGATTGCAAATTTAAAGGTCCCCGGTTCAATCCCGAGTTTCGGGGAGTGTTTCAGCGCCCCTGAGCATGGTGGGGTTGTTTTTTGTTTGTTTGTTTTTGTTTTTTGGGCTTTTTAACAATATATCTTTATTTCAGAGAGGAAGGGGAGAGGGAGAGAGAGATAGTAACATCAATGATGAGAGAATCATTGATCGGCTGCCTCCCGCACGGCTCCACAGTGTCGATCGAGCCCGCAACCCGGGCGGGTGTATGGCCGGACTGGGAATAGAGCCGCAACCTCCTGCCTGGTTCATAGATCGGAGCTCAGTCACTGAGCCACGCCAGCCGGCGGCCCGGGAGCATCTTTATCCTTTTTCCCAGCCAGTGCAGTTTCTCCTTTCACCAGAACGTGTCCTCATTCTGCAAATGAAGAGCAGGGCTGCCACTCATGCCAACGTGGGGGAGGACAGAGCAAGGAACTCAAATCCCGCATTCAACCCCCCGTGTCCCCACCTCCAAGACTATGATTCCAACCTAAACGTTCCCTTTCATCAATCCGATTTTTTAAAAAGCAATGATTAAGTGTTTTGTTTTGTTTTTTAAAATTTTTATTGATTTTTAGAAAGGGAGAGAGAAACATTCATGTGAGAGATTGAAAACATCAATTGGCTGCCTCCTGCAGGTCCCCTACCGGGGATTGAGCCTGAAATCCTGGCATGTGCCCTCAGCAGGGATCCGAAACCTGGGTGCAGGAGCTGATTATGTCAACCAACTGGCTACACTGGCCAGGGCAACCCGATTAAAAAAAAAACAAACAAAAAAAAACCCAAACACATATTTTTATTTATTTCAGGGAGGAAGGAAGAGGGAGATAGAAACATCCATGATGAGAGAGAATCATTGATTGGCTGCCTTTTGCAAGCCCTCCACTGGGACTGGGGATCGAGCCTAGAACCCAGGCATGTGTCCTTGACTGGAATCGAACCTGGGACCTTTCAGTTAGCAGGGGGACACTCTATCCACCGAGCCAAACCAGCTAGGGCACAACCCAGTTTTTTTTTAAAAGTGATAGCATTAGAACCAGTGTTAATTGTAAAACCGAACACTACTGAACATCAAAACTGGCAAAACAGGTTTCAAGAACACTTCTCGAAATACTTCCCATTGTATATCATTTCTTTTTGACAATCCTGCTAGGTAACTGTTCTGTCCTTTTATGTATGGGGAAACTGAGACCCAAACAGGCAAAAAGGCAGGTGAGTGACAACTGGTCTCCTGGCAGGACCACTCCCTGCTCTGTGCTGGTACTGAGCAAAGCAAGGGCTGGTCCCTGTTCTTTTTTGTTGTTGTTGTTGTTTTGTTTTTTAATATATTTTTTATTGACTTTTTACAGAGAGGAAGAGAGAGAGAGAAAGAGTTAGAAACATCGATGAGAGAGACATTGATCAACTGTGCCTGCAACCAACCTGGGACTTTTCAGTCTGCAGGCCGACGCTCTATCCATTGAGCCAAACCGGTCTCGGCTGGTCCCTGTTCTTAAGGAGCTCAAGGTCCCTTGGGAATGAGAGGTGTGGGGTGGGCCTTAGGCCAAAACCCTGTAGCTAAAGGGATGGCACACAGGTGGGAAAGAGGAGATGAAGAGCGGCCAAACCAACTGAGTAGTTCAGCTGGATAGAGCATTGTTCTGACACATTAAGGTTGGGAAGTTTGATCCCTGATCAGGGCACATACAAGGCTCAACCAATGAATACATAAATAAGTGGAACAAATCAATTGTTTTTATCTTAAATTTTATTTTTTATTTTTTAAATATACTTTATTGATTTTTTACAGAGAGGAAGGGAGAAGGATAGAGAGCTATTATACAAACATCGATGAGAGAGAAACATCGATTGCCTCCTGCACACCCCCCACTGGGGATGTGCCCACAACCAACGTACATGCCCTTGATCAGAATCGAACCTGGGACCCTTCAGTCCAAAGGCTGATGCTCTATCCACTGAGCCAAACTGGTTTCGGCTCTGTCTTAAATTTTAAAAATTAATAATAGTAATAATAATAAAAGGGTGGCACTCTGACAGGACTATAAAATTCTGGCAGATGCACAAATAACCTTTCCCTATAGTTCCCACAACTGGGTATATTGTGCAGTTGGATTTTTATATTTGTTTTTGTTGTTGTTCTATCCTCACCTGAGAATATATATATTTTTTTCTTTTTTAAGAGAGAGTGGAAGGGAAAAGAGGGAGAGAGAGTAAAATCAATATAAGAGGCACATTGCTTGGTTGTCTCTTGCACACACTCTGACCAGGGCCAGAGATCAAACCATGACCCTTCAGTCCTTGGGCCAACACTCTAACCACTGAGCAAAACTGAGTCACTGCCTCCTGAGTAAAACTGGCCAGGGCTGGGTTTTTATATTTAAATTAACTTTATGTCTTAGACACATCAAGGTTTTGATTTATAGAAAAGTTACAAAGATATTATAGTTTCAACTAGAGGCCTAGTGCGTGAAATTCGAGATTTGTGCACTGGCAGGGGTGGGAAGTGGTCCTCAGCCCAGCCTGCACCCTCTTGCAGTCCAGGATGTCCGACTGACGGCTTTTGTGCGATCCCTGGGAGAGCAGGCCTAAGTGGGCAGTCAGAATCCTTAATGCTGACATGGAGGTGGGAAGAGGCTCCCGCCACCACCACTAAGCTCACCAGCCATGAGCTGGCTTCTGGCTGACCACCAGGGGGCAACTCCTGTATTGAGCATCTGTCCTCTGGTGGTCAGTGTGTCTTATAGCGACCAGTTATCCCCTCCCCCACTTCTGTCAATTTGCATACTAGCCTTTTATTATATAGGAGGATGTACCCCATACCTGTGGTTAACATGTTACACTGATATGATGCATTATCACAACTCCTGAACCAATATGGACATTAAGGACACCCTCCTTTATTGGGTTTCCTTTCCCCTAAAGTTCCCACCCTATGAGCATGGCATCCTGGGAACTGAGCCCTCAACCTATGCTCACATCTGACTGAGAGAGACGTCAGGGGACCACACAGCCTCCCCACCAAGCTGCTCCTGAATTTCTAACCCAGAGAAATCAGAATGTTGTTTCCAACTCCTGTGTTTCTGGTGCCATTTGTTATACAGCAATAAATAGGGGAAGAAAGAGCCTGTCTCAGGAACCCAGTCTTCTGGAAAAGGGGAGAGGGGAGAGAGGAGAGGAAAGGGAGATGGGACAGGGAGAGGAGGAGAGAGGGGGCACAGGAAATGTGGGGCAATAGAAGCTGTGAATCTGGTGCTAAGAGTGACCCATGTTCATTGTGTAGACAGGCTTCTCTGTGGCTTGAGATTCTTACCCTGTGAATATGCTACTTTTAAAAAATAATTTTTAAAGATCAACAACAGACTTGCCAACACTATGCAATGAAATGCCCTTCCCAGGAAGTGGTTCTGTAGAAAATGGCTACTTCCCTGAGGGTGAGTTGACTGCTCTGCTGTAGAGGTTGGTGCTGGGAGTCAACTGACCATAGGGAAGGCATCTGTGTAGTTTCAGGGTCCCAAGGTCTGGGTGAGGTTCTGGGCGGGGGGCTGGGTTGGGGAAGGCTGGGCTGGAGGAAAGTGTCTCAGGATGTCCAGAGAAAACTCAGAAAGGTGCTGGCAGCTTAGAGCAACTAGTTAGACAAGCCCATGGGGAAAGGGTGAAGGAGGCAGGCAGTGAAGGAGGAAGGCAGGAGTCACTGCCTCCACAGGTACGGTGACAGGGAAAGGTAGCAAGACCCCCATCAGTTATGGGGGTGCTCCTGGCAAGCAGTAGGGGCCAGGAATGCTGCTCAAAACCTTCCTCCAGTGCCCAGAATGTTCCCCACCCCCGCCCCAAGTCAACAGTGCAGAGGGGAAAGCTTGCTGCAAGAGAAATACCGGCTCAGCTGCCAGAACAATGGGGGGAAGCCATTGAGAATGGTGGGTGCAGGAGGGTGTGGGTGGGTGAGGTGCCCCAGCTGCAGCCCCGCCTTGTGCTGGGTGAAGTCCATCTTCTAAATACTTGAGAAGCAGTTGAGTGGCACTGGCTTCCCCAAGGGCAGTGACCACCTCTCAGGCCTTCTAGGACATTTCTCACTTGGCAGGTAAGCTGGTGGTGACTTCCTGAACAACTACCACCACCCATGTAGAGGGAGAACAGACCTCTACCCACCCCACGAGCCACCACTGCCATCTTGCCTACGGCCAAAGTTTGAAAACAAACACCCTTAGTGTCTACAAAACACAGCAAGCACTGAAAGTACCCCGTTGGGACCAGGGATGTGGTTAGAAGCCTCCCAAGATGGGGCTGGTGCTGGACCCCACAAGCTCCAAACCCACCTGAGGGAGACCGCACGCAGAGCCCAGGAGAGCAGTCAGAGCTCCAAAATGGTGTTTACTTCCTGTCTGAACGGTTCCAGTCTACAAGCACAGCCTTGAAACACAGTGAGGATTAGCAGAGAAACAGAGATTTAAAAATACTTCACAATAATGGAATAGGCCCAGGTGGATCTCAGGGTTTCCATGGGGCCTCATGGACATTTATTCAACAAGTACAGCCAGTGTATTTGTTCACTGTCAATGCCATCAAACTTCTGGAAGGGAGCCAGGCCCGTTTTGGCAGTGCTGCTGGGGCCCTCCAGTGTGGGGAGAGGACTCGGTCCAGGAAGAGTGACCTGTGCAGGGCCAAGCTACTAGGCATCAGGAGCCGTCTCCATGAGATGCAGACCCCACCATGGTCTTAGCTTTGGGCCACCAGTCCTTCTCTCCCAGGCCTGGCCCTACACTGTCACCCCTCTGGCCAACTTGGGATGACAGCAGATTTGTTAAGAGCCACATGTAACAACTTTCTGCTGTTGATTTGAGCAAAATAAACTGAGACAAAGATCGCTGGCAGGGTTCTGGGCCCCCAACATCTCATGCCATCTGCCCACCAAGCACATCCTGTTAACCAACCAGAAGTGGTTGTGCAGTGCCTTCCTGTTCAACATCTCAGGGCACCAGGGCACCTACTCTCACACGTGCCAGGAGAATCTCCTTCAGACTGTCCTCCACAGTAATTCCTGTTGGCTAAGGGGGACATCAGGAGAGAGGGCACTGTCATCATGGGTGACAATGAAGCCAGGGTAATGATAGGGCAGGACCTTGAAGTTAACATCACCAATGTTGACTACAACAATGTTGACTACAACAGCTTAGAATTGGTGTGTGGCTCTAACTGGTATGTGTTCAAGGCCTGGCCAAGTAAAAATGGGGCATGGGTTTATATACAGCTAGAATTCCAAGCCAGGGGCTCTGGGACCTGTCTCATGCTTCGGACAGGAACAAGCTTAATCCTATGGCTCCCAGACCAAGAGCTGGGTACAAGGCATGTACACAATGACCTTAGTTGTCCATGTGGGAGCAGTGAAAACATGGGATCATCACAGCTACCCATGTAGACTACTGAGACAATAGGGCTGGCTGGGCTGTGACAATGCTCAGCGCGGAGACATGCACGGAAATCCACAGAGGACAGGCAGCCTGGAGCGGAGACTCACCCCGACATGCGTCCGAGCAGAAAGAGGCTGTGGAAAGATTTATGTCTGTCTCTTGTCCTACATGAGCAACATAGCAAATGCTAAAGCACAAGAAAGCAGCTGGTCTTTGTTTCTGCCTTTTACAAATACTGGTTTTCTTAAAAAATGTATAAGGAGGCACAGCAAAGGGAGGAATCATCTTAAGAGGAAGCCACACAAAGGAGGGGGGAAATGGAAAAATACATGATTACCTCTGGAGGTATACATTCATATCAGAATCTTTAAAAAACAACAACTCCTGTTTAATATTGGATACAATGCTTTTTAACATAAAAAGACAAATATGTACCTTATATTAAACTATTCTGTACAGTTGCAAGTAATGAAATAAAGCAAATGAATCAGGTTTGTCCTTTCAAAAACTTTTCAGGAATTGTTCCCTGAAAAGACAGATCTGATGTACACATCTCTCCAGTTCCATCTTCAGAAAGCGTGTGCATCGGCCCAGGGACCTCTGGCAATTCTCACTCTCACTCCACACGATGGCGCCTTCCCACATCAGCATCGCTGGTTCATTTCTTCTAAGAGCTGGTTGTCAAATATTTCTTTTTCCCTTCAGAAGAAAAAAAGTGACAACTTCATTTTAGTAATTGTGTTTTTAAAAGCATGAAACAGAGGAGTGGGTGTATGATGGGGGCAGTTTCAATTTGGAAAGTCCTGGATGATGGTGGGGATGGCTGCATGACAATGTGAATGTGTTTAATGCTGCTGAATTGTCCACTAAAAAATGGTTAAGATGGTCCTGGCCAGATAGTCCAGTTGGTTAGAGCCTTGCCCGGATACTCAAATTAATCCTCGCCCAACCAGCATGGCTCAGTGGTTGAGCATCAACCTATGAATCAAGGTTTGATTCCTGGTCAGGGTACATACCCGGGTTGCAGGCTCGATCCCCAGTGCAGGAGGCAGCCAATCAATGATTTTTTCTCATCATTGATGTTTCTACCTCTCTCTTCCTCTTTGAAATCAATAAGATATATTTTAACAAATAATCCTCACCCAAGGATTATTTTTTCCACTGATTCCTAGAAGGGAAGAGGAAGGGGGAGAGAAACACATTGATTGATTGCCTCCCACAGGCACTCCTACCAAGGCTGGGGAACCTGCATCCAAGGTATGTGCCTTTGACAGGGAATCAAACCCATGACTCTTGGGTCTGAAGGCCAACCCTTTAACCACTGAACAATCCAGCCAGGGCAAAATAATTTTTAAAAGTATAAAATATTTGCCAAAACCGGTTGGCTCAGTGGATAGAGCGTCGGCCTGAGGACTGAAAGGTCCCAGGTTTGATTCCAGTCAAGAGCGTGTACCTTGGTTCTAGGCACATCCCCAAGGGATGTGCAGAAGGCAGCTGATCTATGACTCTCTCTCATCGATGTTTCTAACTCTATCCCTCTCACTTCCTCTCTGAAAAAAATTAATAAAATGTATTTAAAAACAAAAATAAAAAAAGTATGAAATATCAAATTGTCGTTTTTTGGGTGTGGGGGTTTTAATCCTCACCCGAAGAGTTTTCCATTGGTTCCTAGGGAAAATGGAAGAAAATGACAGAGAGAAATATGGATGTGAGAGAAACACATGGATTGACTGCCTCCTGCACATCAGAGGCTGAGCTGGGGAGGAGACTGCAACCAAGGTATTTGCCCTTGACCAGAATTGAACCCGGGATGTTGGGTCTGCAGGCTGACACTATCTACTGAGCCAAACCTCCAAGACTCAAATTGTCCTTTTTAAGTGACTCTCAGTTAAGAAAAACTGTGTCAACAATCACTTGGCTGGCCAGTGCATTCAGGATATAAATAAACACATTAATTCTGAAGTGGATCAGCTAACCACAGAAACATTGGAGAGGTAAATGTGCACATGTCAGTTCAAAACAAGAAACACAAGCAGCCTGAAAATGAGCACAACAGAAACAGCACACACACCTTTGCAATGCATAATATAGTCAGTCTGTGCACAACCTCTTAACTTATAAGACTAGAGGAGCACAGGTACATGGATCCCGCGACAGACAGACTACGTGGCTGAGAATTGGGGCGAAAAGACAGAAACAGGCTAATCACTAATTGTGTTCCTTAGATCACGTCCCTGAGGAATAAAATGGGGCCAGAGTTTTCACCCTAATTCAGTCATGTCAGCCAGTGAACCTCATTTCCAGGGGGCATTTGACATGTTCATGGCAGGCAGAGGCTGTAAAGAACTAACACACTTAGTGCTGGCAACCCAGCAGAGGGAAGAGTGTGGAGATGCAGAAAGGATCATAGGAGCAGAAGTTTGAGCTCCCAGATGTAGCTACTCTGCCCTGCTTCTCCCAAGACCACTATTTTGATTTGTGTATGGATCGTGCCAGGCTTGAGATCCAAGAACAGAGATGCCAAATTTGTTTCCAACGGCCCTTCCTGTCCTGTTAAGTGAGCTGCCTGCAGAGCCAATTGAGTCTTCTGTGGGCAGCTGCACAGGAGGCCTGTTATCCACAGAGGCTGGCAGGCAGCCCTCCTCCCCTCCCTGCACAGGCTGGGGCCCTGCCTGGGAAGGATGCCGAGCGTCTTCACCCGAGTGTCCTGTGACAGAGCCCAGTCAGCCCTGGAGGGAGCCCCTAGCCTGTGACTCTAGTTGAGTCTTCAGCCTGTCACTGGCACGCAGCCACGCCTGTTTCCAGCAAGACCTGGCAACATGCCCGGAAGGGATTAGGGGCTCCGGGGCCAGAACTCCAAGGGCAGCTAGCCACCCCGATGTGAGAGAAACGTCTTGATCAGAGCCTTCTCTGACTGGTGAAAACCCATCAGGACGAATGCTTCCTGTTCTCAAACAGCCAGACCATTGCAGCACAGGGGAGAGTTGAAAATACAATATCAGCCGAAACCATAACTATTGGCTCAGTGGATAGAGCGTCGGTCTGCAGAAAGAAAGATCCCAGGTTCGAGGGCATGTACATTGGTTGTGGGCACATCCTCTGTAGGGGGTGTGCAGGAGGCAGCTGGTCAATGTTTCTCATCGATGTTTCTAACTCTCTGTCCCTCTCTCTTCCTCTCTGTAAAAAAAATCAATAAAATATACTTAAAAAGAAAGAAAGAAAGAAAGAAATACAACATCAGCTCTCAGCAATCAGAGATTAGGCAGAGAGATCTCAGTACACATCCAGGGGTCACCCTGGCTGCCCCGATAGGGTGCTACATGGGTCCTCAGTATGTATCCACTATAGGGCCCAGGGCCCACGGCCCAAACTCAACAAAGGACAAGAACGTCCACTGCTGGCTTCACCAGGTTTGTCTGGCATTTAAACTGCCAAGTGCTAATGTATATTTTCAAGTTTATGTGACTCATTTACCCAAGTGTATCTAGTCCAGCGTATCAAGAAGAGGGCCTCAGTCCCAGCTGCTAACATGTGTGCACATACAAGCCTTGGAAGATACGTTGTAAAATGGTTGGGGCAAAGCTCTGAGCAGCCTACCGGTAGCTCAGCAAAGGTCCTTTGATGTACTTCTCCTCAGCCGTCTTGTAATCTACCGCATCCACCGCAGAAATCGCGCAGATGATGGCCTGCAAGAGAGGAACAGGTCAACACCCGTCAGGCCACTCTCGGCGCCGAGCTCTGAAGAATTAGCAAGGGGACAGTTCAACCACATGCTGGCCTCTAGACTGGTCCCCATTTATGGCTTAAAACATATGTATGGAACTCTGCTAGAAATCAAGTTTATGAATTAAATCAGTAACATTATTTTGTGGACTAAAGAGGAAAGTTCCTGACACTAAAAGCATATAGTAACAAAAGGCAGCACCCAAACCAACAAGTGCATTTTTGAAAAATTTTGAGTTTACTATTAAAAAATAAAAAGGCACAATAGTGATAATTTGAATACATAATAAATGCCCGATATCAAGGAATCACTGTCAATATTTTTAGGTGAAATAACTAGTACTTTTTGTCTTGCTTACATCAAGAGACATCAGAGCAGTATCTTGGCCCCACCGCCTCGCTGCCAGGAACACCCCTACAGTGACAACCCCAGATGTTCCCAGGAAGCAGGATCATCCCATTTTAGAGATACACAAGGCAGTATTTATGAATAAAAAATATTTAGGCCCTGGCCAAGTAGCTCAGTTGGTTATAGCACCCAATGCGCCAAGGTTGCAGGTTCAATCCCCAGTCAGGGTACATGTAAGAATCAACCAATAAATGCATAAATAGTTGGAACACAAGTTGATGTTTTTCTCTCTCTCTTTCCCCTTTTCTCTCTCTAAACTCAATTTAAAAAAAATATATATATATAAAAAAAATTTTTATATGGTTGGGATCTCCACCCTTCCCTCCCACCCCCCTGCCCAAAAAACTAATTTGGAGGAAGGACCACAGGCACATATGGACTGAGGTCACCATTCCAGCCAGGTGATGAACACACAGGGTTCACGATATTCTTTTCTCAATATATATATATAGTGTGTATGTATGTATATGTATATACACACCCAGCAGCCCATTCTGAATTTCACAGTAACCGAGGACCTGTGTCTGCTCCTTGCCCCTGGCCCCAGTACTGAGGAAAGTTAAAATTCCCATTTTCAGAGTAAATTCTGGAACAGTCACTACCAGTGCTGCAGATAAAGCCTGCATCTTATTCCCCCAGAGCTGGAGATGAGATCAGAACACCCTAGCCCTATGCCACTGCCCACAGAATGGCCAGGAGGGTTGGGACCCCATGAAGTAGGGGCCTCCAGGCATATTTTGGAAGGGTGACATTCTAGCACCGTGCCTGGTACAGCCCATGCCTGGACAAAAGTGGGCTGGGTCTATAGTTGGGCCCACACCACAGGCCCCCACCACCTTCATGCACAGGGTTTCTTGCTGGCCACTCACTTCAGGCAGAAGGACGTCCAGAATGAAGCGGATGCTGTCACCGTTGATCTGCGTCAGCATCCTGCTGCCTGTCTCCTGGTAGACCTCTTGCAAGTACTTCACCACCAGGTCCAGCTGTTCCTCGTCTTCCAGGTATGTCTCTACACACGTCACATACTGTCCCGAGTTCAGAAACGTCGTCAGCCACCTGGATGGCTTCTTGTTCTTCAAGATGGCCCGCAGGTGGTCCTCAGCGCCCCTTGCCTTCACGATGTACTCCACCAGCCTCTGGTTGGCCCGGTCCCGGGCAGCTCGTGATCGATCAGGCAAGACTTTCCTGCAGGGCTGCCTCTTGCCCCATGGACTCCCGGCCATAGGCATCTCAGGATCCTCATGGCAGAGCCGAGGGAACCGAGTCCCCAAGACATCCTGCTGGATGGACTTGCGGACAGGATAGCCTATAGAGGGCGAGGCATGCATCTGTGGGACTGCGGCCAGGTAGGGTCCCTTCACTACGTCCTGGGGTGTGGAGAAGACCATGGGGACACTGGGGCAGCCACATTCCTAAAGGGTTCTTCCTCCAGGAGACCCTCCTCACCCCCCCAACTCTGCCCTTTAGCCAAGCTTAACCTGAAAGAGCAGAGCCCCTCAAGCCCCCAAAAGAAGCATTAATTCGTCTATCTCCCCCTTTAAGGAGGGGAGGAATGGGACAGGGTATATGTGTGACTGTCACTAAATGAAAACAGAAACAAGGAAGGAAGACAAAAAGTACTGCTCATATATTTGAATGTTTGGGTGTTATCACTCACAGGGTAGTTTTAGAAGTGGACCTGCTGTCCAGGCCCCTATGGCAGGGAGGGAGAGGAGACCTGGGGGAGCCCAGGGGATACCGGGCTAAATGGTCCCACAATCCAGGAGAAGGCTTAGAGACCTGTTACTTTTAGACTAAACGGCAGACCACACTTTTCAAGGCGCTGGTGGACTTACTTATATTGGCTGCATAATATTCCAGGAAAGAGCCAGAGAAGGAACCACAGCCTGCAGAGGAGCGAGAAGGGGAGAAAGCGCACATGACATATGCTCTGGAAACCTCTTCAGGTTGTAGGGTCTAGGTGCTCCGATTACACATCAGCCCCAATCAAACCCCTTTTAGCGGAAGGGCTGGTACAGCATGGAGACTGAGGCCACAAAAAAGCCAGGAGTTTCTGTTAACAAGCCTGATTCAGATTCCTAATTCCCAACAGCCCAACTTGGGATGGACAGAAACCAGCTCTGGTTCAAAGGAGGCCCCCTCTTTTGTCCATGTCCAACATTACCACCTCTTCCTGGGCGTCTGCTTATCCACCTGTACTGGGCACACAGCTGTCAAGGACAAGGCCAGACTACCATGGGGAATGGCTGCGCTCTGCCTTACTACCAGAGGGTCTGCAGAGGAAGCCCCAGGCTGCTGCCCCCACCCGCTCCCTTTGTCCAAGGCCATGGAGGTCCCGCGTACCGAGTCGGACCCTGTAGTCAGTGATCAGGGAGACGCACCAGCCAATAGCCTGGTCGAAGTCCTCCTTAGCCTCATTCTGCAACGAGAGAGAGAGCACGTGTCAATAGGAGTCTGCTGGGACTCCTCCTCTGGCTGCTCAGTACCCTTATCTAGAAAGGCACCCAGCAGGTGCCCTCAGGCAGGCTCCCCAGGCTGGCAGGGAATGCCTGGCAAGACCCAGCTCTGGGGCCAGGCTGCTCCCTTGTGAGCCTGGCTCTGGGCCCGAGGCCTGAAGACTCAAAGAGAAAGGTGGCTAAACACCCCAATTGTAGTTGCCATGACCATCATAGGGAGAGGACCTTAAAGTATGAAATAAATCCTTTTAAGAGACATATTTGTGCCGAAACCGGTTTGGCTCAGTGGAGAGAGCACGGGCCTGTGGACTGAAAGGTCCAGGGTTCGATTCCAGTCAAGGGCATGTACCTTGGTTGCGGGCACATCCCCAGTAGGGGGTGTACAAGAGGCAGCTGATCGATGTCTCTCCCTCATGGATGTCTCTAACTTTCTATCCCTTTCTCTTCCTCTCTGTAAAAAATCAATAAAATATATATATTTATATGTATATAAAAGAGAGAGACATTTTTGTGCCCAGCACTTAAGAGAGGGGCAGTCTAAGCCTAAAGGGAGTGACATTTGGCCACCACCAAACTAAGAACAATATAACTGGCAAGGCTCCCTGAGCTGGGAAGAGTTCCCAGGAAATATCCAGACTCAAGACGAGCCTACATCCTGCGTTACTGCTGCCTTGGCCTGGCCACCCTCCTGTGGTCACCACATGAAGCAGGCAAGGGATGCAAGCACAACAAGCAGCTCCAGCGGGAAAAGGCCAAACTAGCTGGCAGACAGTGTAGCACCAGGGAAGGAGACACACGGGAGCCTACAGATGCCACAAAGCATGATAGTCACCCAAGGGCCAGCAGAGGCCGTGAGAGCCAATCCATCAACCTCTAGAACAGGCGACACATCCACCCCTTGGAAGTGCTGCTCACTGCTACTCAGAGGACCCAGCACCTCGTGCTCCCTCCACACCCATCTCCCAGGGGAATAGGAAGCTGGCCACAGATGCCCTCCAGGAATCTAGACCACAAGCGGCCCACACACCATCTTCTCATACAGATCCTAAAGCAAGATTCCTACTCTGCTTTCTGCACCACGGCAATCCCTTCTCCTACCCATGGGAAAGCTACCAGGACCCTAAGAAGGCACATCGCACTTCGAGGAGTCAGGTAGCTCCTGGCCTGGAAGGCTGGGTGAGTAGCTCCTTGAACTGACAGATTGGCATTCAGGGAGCATAGAACCCTGTAAGACTAGAACCAGGCCCCACTGACACGCACTCTGATGGGGATCAGGAACCCAGCACTGGTTGTGGGTTAGATGTAGCAGACAAAACAGACGTAGCAAGGCTCATGCTGTGGAGACTGGAAAATCAGGGGGGAAAGGAAAGGGATAGAGTCTGGAATGGGAGCCCATCTTCCAAACGCCCACCTGCCCCCACAGCCTGAAGCCTGCTGTCCTCGGGAGACAACACCGGAGTGGGCAGCGGGCTTCCCAGATCGCAGCACTCCTGAGGACACAGACTGCTTCCCACCCTGAAAACTCAGGAAACCCTGGCCACTGCCACGGGAACCCTGCAGTGGGGTGCAGGCAGAAGCCTCAACTCCCTGTCCAGTCCTGTTTTTTTTTTTGAAAGCTGGAACAACATAGAGCAGTGTTTCAAAGCTGGACAGGGTTTGGAGGAGCAACACCTCATGGTTCATGGATTCATGTATAACAAAGCCGATCATAGAATTGTGGGGACTCAGTCACTGGAAGCAGAGCAGGTAGCCTGGGGAGTGTCCTAATCCCAATTCATGCTGTTGTGCTCAGGTCCCAGGTGGGCAAAGGGAGGCCTCAGAAGGAGCCAGAGGGAATAGGCCTCATGTCCAGCCTCTCTGCCACCTTAGCCCCTAACTGGGGACAAACGGTTCCCCTGCCACAGCCTGTTTCCACAAGGCAGACAGGTGGCACGCTCCTGGGTAGTTGAGGGCCCCTGCAGGAACCCCTGAGGACAGTGGCCAAAGCAGACAGGGCAGGTGCTAGAAGTACCCTACGACAGTAGTTCCAAAGGCTACACAAAGAACACTGTCGCCAGTCATGAGGGAGCTGTTTAGTGAAGCACAGATAACAAGCCACCTACCAGAAGCTCCTGCTTCTCTTTACAGTCGAAGTGCTTCAGCCTCTTGAGAGGGACTGTGATGCTGCAGAAAGCAGAGGCAAGGTAACAGACATAAGGCACCACGTGAACAGACATTCTCTTCCTCTGACCGTTAGGAGGGGCCTCTGCCAGACCAGGTCACCCAAGACAACCGCTGTGCCAGCTGCCCAAGGAAGCCCCGTGGAGCCATGTCCTGGAGTGACAGGTACCCTTGACTGGGTCCCTAAAGGGACACAGCTGGGATCACTGTACAGATGCCAGGGCCCAATCTCTACCCTGCTGGTGACCAAAGGAGGGTGGCAGCACCGAAGTGCCAGAGGATCAGTGAGGACCAGCTCTACAGTAGCCTCAGTGTGAGTAGTGTGGTGCCTGCTGAGCTCGCTGGGAGCAGTGACACATTGTGTATATGCTCATCCCAGGAAGAAGAGCGAATAGAGAAAGACCGACAACAACCCACATGACAAAACTCAGACTGAGGGAGGGTCCCTCTTCACAACCTGCATGGAGGGAGTCACTTTTGCTAGATTCTGGGAAATGGGGGTCTAGTGCATGTGTAGCTGGATGGCCTTTCAAAGCCCACAAATAACAGTTGGGAAACTGAGCTGTGTGACCTAGCAGGCCCCGGATGCCTGCTCCCCAGCTCCTATCCCGGGAAACGTCCGTGAAGAGCCAGGGATGATGGGCTTACCCTCGCCCTTTCGGGTCCATGTGTCCTTCAATGAAAAGCACACTCGCTTTCTTTTCTCTCCGCTTGACATTCTTGACCTACGGGCAAAGCCAAGAAAACAAAGCATCAAGAATCCAGGAAAAGCCAGGAGTTTTAATCCTTTATTGACACCATCTCACTGAGCAAGAGGTAACCCTCTGACACCTGTGACAGGGAATGCCGCTGGCTGGGGGACTGAAGTGAAGTCCACATGGTAACGTGCTTAGGAACTGCCCAATTTTTTGCTGCACACGTGGCTCTAAGGGGTTTGACAACTGAGCAGAATCAGACAGGGTTTTCTTACAATATTAAATAAAAGCAACTACTTCTGCTGTTAGCAGTCATCTCTATGTAATCGCCATGGCTGATTGAACTGTGGCCAAACAGGGCCTGTTCAGGACCAGCCAAGGGCATGAGACAGGCAGGGCCTGACTCAAAGACATGTCCTTGGACGAAAGGGCCAAGGAGCCCCTTTCTGTATTGCCTCACAGGCTGTACAAAGGGTTCACTGACAAGGGTGGGAGTGGAAATCCATGCCCCAAGAATGTCAAGTTGTCATGTTGGTGACCTGTTAACCAGCAGGGCTCCAGGGAACTGTTGGAAATGAGGGAAGGGCTGAAAGGGCGAGAAAAGGGTGCCTACTATAAGCAGGCTGTGGTATATCTTAGGAAGGGGGTACGGGACGGGGGAGGGGGCCCCGATAAAGGCTACCACAATTGTCCCGGGGCTTTCTGAACACCCAGCTCACCAGATGTGTGTGCAAGCTACAAATCCCATCCACAAACATGTCAGGGTCTGGGTCTGCCCTTCCGGAAGCCACGCTGCCGCTCTGGGCAAGGAGGCCCGTCTGACTGCGGGTCAGACTCACCCAGACAACACAGCTCCTCCTGACTACGGCTGATACCTTTCCAACTTAAAGGCCACTGTCTCTCACTAAAAATTAAAGAACTCTGGCTAGAATTATGCAGATCCTGTCTCAGCTGAAGGAGGATAAAGAGTAGCCAAGACAGTGCCTTTGCCTAAACAATAAACTGACTGTTTGCAACATCCAGCTTAAAAGCAAATCCTCAAACTTGGCTATATTTAAGCTTATTCACTACAGTGAGGCACTGGGCCGGATCTCAAATGCCTGTTTTTATTTTTTATTTATTGATTCATTTTAGACAGAGAGGAAGGAGGAAAGAGAGAGGAAAACCCCCCACAAAACATTGATTTGCTGTTCCACTATTTACGCATTATTGGTTGATACTTTTTATGTGCCCTGATCGGGGATTGAACCTATAACCTTGGCATTATCAGGTTGATGCAAATGAGCTCCTCAGCCAGGACCTCAAATGCCTTTTTCAGACGAGATCGGGCGCGTTCAGGGTGGTATGGCCGTAGACTCAAATGCCTTTTTCATATGCACAATGGCATCCTACCCCAAAATCTAAGATTAAAAAGCTCCTACAGCCGAAACCAGTTTGGCTCAGCGGATAGAGCGTCGGCCTGCAGACTGAAGGGTCCCAGGTTCGATTCCGGTCAAGGGCATGTGCCTTGGTTGCGGGCACATCCCCAGTAGGGGGTGTGCAAGAAGCAGCTGATCTATGTTTCTCTCTCATCGATGTTTCTAACTCTCTATCCCTCTCTCTTCCTCTCTGTAAAAAGTCAATAAAATATATATATTTTTTTAAAAAAGCTCCTACAGCCCTAACCAGTTTGGCTCAATGGACAGAGTGTCAGCTTATGGACTGAAGGGTACCAGATTCGATACCTTGGTTGCGGGCACATCCCCAGTGGGGAGTGTACAGGGGGCGGCTAATCAATGTTTCTCTCTCATCGATGTTTCTAACTCTCTATCTCTTTCCCTTCCTCTCTGTAAAAAATCAATAAAATATATATTTTTTAAAAAGCTCCTACAAGGCAAATCTCTGAAATACACATTTAAAATTAACAAATTGTGGATATTTTTCTTCCAAGCAGGTTTTTCTAAGCCTGGTTGGTAAAAATCTGACCTGTAAACTTTGGTGACACAATGACTAAACCCCCTTTATTTAGGTACACGTGCCTTCAGAAATCCTGCTTATAAGCCCATCACTTTTCCTAGTAATAATGTGAAAACATTTGCCCGCTCTGGGGAGGGAGGGCATGTATGGGGGGTGGGGGGGAATGGTGTTATGTACAGAGATAATAATTTAATAAAAATTAAAAAAAAAAAACACATTTGCCCGGGTTCAACTGTTGAGGGGCCAAGTAACTGCACTTAGGAGCTAGAGCTGTTCTTACCACTGCGGGCCAGAAGGGGTACTTTTGGTATTTAAGCCAGACCAGCATTCCTACTTCAAACGAACTTGGTTCTAAAATTAAAAAGAAAGAAAAACAAAAAGACAGAACAGATAAGTCAGATCCATGGCAAGCACCAAATGCATCAGCTTGAGAAAACAGTTACTGTGATGATGTTTAAATATGATGTTCCCACAGTTCACTTAAAAGATCACAAAGACTGCCTCGCTGTTTGGCTCAGTGGATAGATTGTCGGCCCAAGAAGTGAAGGGTCATGGGTTCGATTTTGGACAAGCACACTGAGCAATTAAGAGTGAGACACCGTGTTAGTTTCCAAATGGTGAGAACATGCCATAGTCACATAGTGTTTGTGAAACAGAGCTGGTAGCAAAGACTCTGCACCAGGTTAACGTCTGTGTAAATTTCAAATTACTCCTAAATAAACTTTTTTTAAACAGTGTTGATAGAGCCCAGGCGGCTTGGCTCAGTGGATAGAGCATCAGCCTGCGGACTGAAGGGTCCCAGGTTTGATTCCAGCCAAGGGCACATGCCTGGGTTGCAGGCTTGATCCCAATAGGGGATGTGCAGGAGGCAGCCAATCAATGATCTCTCTCATTGATGTTTCTATCTCTCTCTCCTTCTCTCTTCCTCTCTGAAATCAATAAAGAAATATATATTTTTTAAAAAGTGTTGATAGAAAACAGAAAGGAGCCAATAGCACACAATGAAGACCCACATGAGAACTCAGTTTCTGAGAAGCTCATCTATCTGAGGAACTGGACACTTTAAGGGGAAAGAAGGAGAATTATTTAAATAATCATCAGAACTATAAAATTATTTCTGAACAAAATTAAACTATTTTCCACCAAAAACTCCCAAATGAGTAAATAATTCAAATGTTTAAAAAATCGGGTAACATGCCGAAACCGGTTTGGCTCAATGGATAGAGCGTCAGCTTGGGGACTGAAGGGACCAGGGTTCGATTCCGGTTAAGGGCATGTACCTTGGTTGCAGGCATATCCCCAGTGGGGGGTGTGCAAGAGGCAGCTGATCGATGACTCTCTCTCATCGATGTTTCTGACTATCTCTCTCCCTTCCTCTCTGTACAAAATCAATAAAATATATTAAAAAAAAAAAAATCGGGTAACAAAACCTTGAAGACAGGCTGGTATTTGACAAAGAACCAAGATCCTCTGTCTGACACTACTGTAGGAGAAGGGAGGCGTGCTGTCCAACTATCTAAAAGTTTACAGAGTGAGCCGAAGCCGGTTTGGCTCAGTGGTAGAGCATCGGTCTGCCGACTGAAGGGTCCCAGGTTCGATTCCGGTCAAGGGCATGTACCTTGGTTGCAGGCACATCCCCGGTGGGGGGTGTGCAGGAGGCAGCTGGTCGATGTTTCTCTCTCATTGACATTTCTGGCTCTCTATCTCTCTTCCTCTCTGTAAAAAATCAATAAAATATTAAAAAATAAACAAAAAGTTTACAGAGTGAGAAGCAAGACCAAGGGAGGACAGAGGCAAACTGGAACCGCCTTCCACAGGTCTGTCTTCCTGTGAGAAGCCTCCCTTTCTCAGAGGACAATGGGTCAGGGCGACAATGGCCAATTAAGGGATCAATAGTGAACATCTAGACAGAGGATCATGGTGACTGGGAACACCCACACCAAATGGAAGCAGAAACCAGGAGAAAAAGCAAATACCCACATTTGGGGGCCAAGGCAACCTAACCCCCTGCTGGCGGCTGTGGGGATGGAAATGCTCCCTGGAAGAAGGCAGTGTCCCTTTTGTGGCCCAGGTAGCTCTGCTCCAGGAGCTGATGTTACAGAGTTATTTCCCAGAAGCATGTGCCACAGACACTGTAGCCCCGGAGCTGTGGGGCTAGACCCCAATGGTGGTGAAGGCTCGATATGTGATCACCCATCATTCCTAGTAAATAGTAACTAGTTTCCGCTGAGAATCAGAAGACCATGTGGAAATGTAAAAAAATGGACAAATTATGCCTGGCCAGTGCTCAGTGGTTAGGGTGTTGGCCTACAGAACGAAGGGTCGAGATTCGATTCCTGGTCACAGGCACATACCTCGGTTGCAGGCTTCCTAACCCCAGCTGAGGAATGTGCAGGAGGCAACCAATCAATGTTTCTCTCTCCCCCTTCCATTTTCTCTAGAAATCAATGGAAAAAATATCCTCAGAGAAAGATTAATAAAAAAAGTCTGAATTATCAAATAAAAATAAGGAAAATGCAAACTTTTAAGTACAGTGACTGAGAGAAAAGCACATGGCGATTTCTGGGAAAAGACGGTGTGACAAGGCAATGTAGGCTGCATGGGAGACATGGAACACCTGGGGCTGTACCACGTGGCTTCCTTTTCCTGCAAGCTGCTGCCATTGGAAGGCTAGGGCACAGTCTCCATCCTGCCCTGTGCCAGTTCTCCAACATCCTGTGAATCTACAATTCTTTCGAAATCAAAAGGTTAAAAAAAAAAAAAAAGAGCCAAAACCTGTTTGGCTCAGTGGATAGAATGTCGGCCTGCAGACTGAAAGGTCCCAGGTTCGATTCCAGTCAAGGGCATGTACCTTGATTGCGGGCACATCCCCAGTAGTTGGTGTGCAAGAGGCAGCTGATCAATGATTCTCTCTCATCGATGTTTCTAACTCTCTATCCCTCTCTCTTCCTCTCTGTAAAATATCAATAAAATATATATTTTTTAAAACACTAGATTCTGTTAACCTGAGAGGGTAATGGACAAGTCTAACAAGGGTACTGTTTCTTGGTCAATTGTTTCAGAAAACTAAAGGAACTGGTTGTTGGTGCACATTCTGGGCCCCTAGATCTTATCTGCCCAGGGTGGTCTGTTCAGAGCAGGCAACATGTGTGGGAGGAGAGAACACATACACAGGCACCATCTCCAAAGGCCTATAAGAGGTGCCAGGCTATATTCCAAATGTGGCTTACCTGTTTAACTGATCTGTTCCCCTGAGGGACAAGGAAAGACAGCCTGTGCTGACAAAGAGTCCCTCCTTCCTTTGTGTGGCTAAGCTTAAGGCAGGGAACCAAAAATGAGGCACTTTTCAAGGTCTTGGCTCAGTAGGAGAAGAATGAAAGAGCAATAGACATTCAGGCAAAGGTGGTCCAAGAATGCATATTTCCTTCCAGAGGATTGAGACATTCTAAGAGTGTTCCTCCCATCCCTGGGTCTTACCGTGATATAAAAGGATTCTTGGGGGTTCCTCCTCCTCCTCTTCCTCCTCCAGGATGGAATTAACAGGCTCAAACTCCATTGACTCTTCAGAAGACTGATGGTCTGCCAAAAATGTCAGGTTAGACTTTCATAGTAAATGACTCATCCCCCAAAAAACACTCTGTGATCTGTGACCATAAGTGAAAACAGATCCATGTTACACAGACCTCCATGGTGCCCGATTCAAGTGGGGTACATTCCCATTAGAGGGCATTTAAAAGACAAATACATGAGACAGAGAGGGGATGTTGAGTCTGGAAGACAAAAAAGCAATGCAAGTCACAAGAGATGGACTGGATTCTGGCAGGATCCCTTTTGGGTGTGAAGCACTTCAGCAGATATGCAGGAACAGTGATACAACTGGGAGACAAGGCAGGGCTGCAGTCGGGGAACAGGGAGGTTCATATCAGTTCCCTGCAGCTTGCAAATCTGCCAGGTAGGGGCCTCATTAGGGAAGTTTGGACTTGGGGCAGAACCCTGGGCAGTAGGTGGGTAGTGAGAACTTGAGACACCCCAGCAAGCAGAAATGAAGATTTCTCAATTAGTGTTTCGAAAATAAGTGGGATGTTATGATGTGAAATGGAAAAAAAATCATTGAGCCTGACTGCAGCTGCATAGAAATGTGTCTACACGGGAAGTTATGAGCCTCTATAGTGAGTTCATCACTTAGAGAGTCCCATGTTCTCACTTCTGCAACGGTTTAAGGAAAAAGCAGTCAATCCTAGAAGGCAGCATTCTCAGAACTACAGTGCCTCCCACAACGGGTCTGCAGGCATGCTGCACCAGGCCCCACTCCAACTCCTCCCTCCCCTTCAGAACAAAACAACACAAACATGGGGAGAAGTGGAGTAATTAAGACCCAGTTCAAGAGTCAAACATAAAAGGAATTGGAAAATCTTTGTTCTGGATCAATTCTAGTACTGATCTCATTAAGATCTGGTTAAAAATATATGGGATGGACCGAAACCGGTTTGGCTCAGTGGATAGAGCGTCGGTCTGCAGACTGAAGGGTCCCAGGTTTGATTCCAGTCAAGAGCATGTGCCTTGGTTGTGGGCACATACCCAGTGGGGAGTGTGCAGGAAGCAGCTGATTGATGTTCCTCTAGCAGATGTTTCTAACTTTCTATCCCTCTTCCTTCCTCTCTGTAAAAAAATCAATAAAATGTGTGTGTGTGTGTGTGTGTGTGTGTGTGTGTATGGGATGGGGCCTGGCTCTGGATCTGGCTGAGGGAAGATCAGAACCCCACCCTGTCCCAGCACTAGAACAGACCTACCTTCCTCCAGGACATGAAGACTTGTGTTATCTGAGGGAGTGAGGAGGATAGAAGGGCCAAGCCTACTGGCACTTCCCAGAATCATGCAACCCCTTAGCCCAGACCTCTGCTGCCATCAAAACACAGCTGCTTACCAGGTGGGCCTTGAACATCCGGGTAGGCTGGGTGCACAGTAGGGCTGCCTGATGGCAAAACTGAGTGGCGACCTTTGGCACACAGACCCTGCTCCATAGCTGCAGAAGGTGAGTTCAGGACTGCAGGGCTGTCCGTCTCTTCCTCACTCTCTCTCTTCTCACCTCCCACTGAAAGTGAAGAGCCATTCAGACACCTGCTGGGTTCCTGTGCCGAATTCCTGCCGCTTTTACTCAGGGTCGTCCCATTTTCGAGGTGTATTCTTGATTTACTCTGGTCCCGAGAGTCACCTCCAGCTGACACCGCCCGAGTAAGTGGGCTTTCACTTTCCCCAATCCCCTTCTTGTAGTCCACTTGGCACTTGGTCTCATTTTCACTAGTGGACGAGCCTGACAGCTCAGGTCCGGAACTGCCCGGCACCCCCTCATGGAGAAGAGATGAAGCGTTGCGATCACAGAGTGAGGATGCCAGTTCCATGTGCTTCTCTCCTGCAGACACAGCAGTTCTTTCTTCCCTTGAAGAGTTTTCTTGATGAGAACGTGTTTCCTCATTCAAAATATCCAGAGCCACTCTAAGCGACCGTCTGTAGGTCAACTCCTCCACAGGTCTGGCTGAAACCTTGTTCTGTGAGGCTGAAGGATGGTAAACAAACAAAGCCTGGTGACGTCCAGATGCCCGGGCACTGCCATCAGAGCATCACTTTACAGGCTCGGTCTCATTCTATAGCTAGTTTTCCACCCAAAGGGAGAACTGACACTTCTCCCCTCTGTCTTCCACAAAGAGGGGCAGGGCTGCAAAACCATAACTGGCTGTGGTTTGCATTCAGGGCTGCGGGGCTCCGTTTTTTAAAAGAACAAATTGAGCCGAAGCCAGTTTGGCTCAGTGGTAGAGCATCCGTCTGCGGACTTAAAGGTTCCAGGTTCGATTTCGGTCAAGGACATGTACCTTGGTTGCGGGCACATCCCCAGTGGAGGGTGTGCAAGAGGCAGCTGGTCGATGTTTCTCTTTCATCGACGTTTCTAGCTCTCTATCTCTCTCTATTCCTCTCTGTAAAAAATCAATAAAATATATTTTTTTTTTAAAATTGAGAACAAATTGAGCCAAGACCGGTTTGGCTCAGTGGATAGAGTGTCGGTCTATGGACTAAAAGGTCCCGGGTTCGATTCATTGGTTGCGGGCACATCCCCAGTAGGGGGTGTGCAAGAGGCAGCTGATCGATGATTCTCTCTCATCGATGTTTCTAACTCTCTATCCTTCTCTCTTCCTCTCTAAAAAATCAATAAAATATATTTTAAAAAAAACACAAAAAAACTTGTGCACTTACTTTAAAAAAAAAAAAGAACAAATTGAGTAACCTTAATCTGATTGAGTGACAAAAATAAATTCCTCCAGATTACAAAATAATCTTGCCAGCAAAACATATTCAGATGTTTCACAAATCCTTGTAGTCTGACAAGTTCCAATTCAATCAAAGTCAATGAGAACCCATTCCAAGGAAATAAAGAATTGGGAGGGCCCAGCTGGTGTTGGTTTGAGCGTCCACCTATGAATGGTTCTATTCCTGGTCAGGGCACAAGCATGATTGCCAGTGGGGGGAGTGCAGGAGGCAGCTGATCAATGATTCTCTCCCATCACTGATGTTTCTTTTTTTCTTTTTAAACTCCAATTCTTTTTTTTTTTTTTAACATATATTTTATTGATTTTTTACATAGAGGAAGTAATAGAGAGTTAGAAACATCGATCAGCTGCCTCCTGCACACTCCCCACTGGGGATATGTCCACAACCAAGGTACATGCCCATGACCAGAATCGAAACTGGGACCCTTCAGTCCATAGGCTGACGCTCTATCCACTGAGCCAACCCAGTTAAGGCTCCCATCACCGATGTTTCTATCTCGCTCTCTCGCTTCCTCTCTGTAATCAATAAAAACATATTAAAAGGAGAACTTGAGAGGAATGCATTCTGAGGTGGAGGGCAGAGTGGGAAATAACCGACTGCAAGAACTCCTTGTTGGCAGGTCAATTTTCCGTACTTTTTTGCAAGGGCATCTCAAAGGCAGGGAAGAGATTGAAAGAACTCCGGGCATTGAGTTCAGCCTGGCCTTTCTGCTGAAACAGCGTCATTTATTCATTCCAACACACACACCTGATGCTATTCATGGGAACTAGTGACAAATGCAATCTCCCAGCTCAGTGGGTATAACCTCCATCAACACAGGACTTCCTGTATTTCATATAAAAGCACCCTCAAACAACTGGCCTCCAACACAACCTGAGCAAATAGATGGTGGCAATTGAGAGGTGATGGTTGACATGCCCAGGGTGTGCAAGGGTGAAACCTGCTTGGAAAATAAACAGCTGCTTTTCCAAAGACATAGGAATACAGACCCTATTTTATAAACACCGTGGTAAGGAACTGTGGATGACAAGACTAACTGGTAAGTCCCTACATGTCCTTATTACCCAATAAGGCAGCGATGTCCTCGATGTGGGACTTCCTCAGAATCTTGGCTTCTGTGCTTTTCACCCTCACCCTGCAGGGACAGAAATGACTGTTATATACTACCTGCTACCCACCAAGGCCATTGGAGACATTTTCAAGCATGTTTTCTTCATATTACAAAAGAATTAGGCTTGTTTTCTTCTCAACTTCTCACACCAAGTTACAGCCAACTAGGAACCCATGTGCCTAACGTCTGAGTCAGCAAGGACCCTAGTGAATGTTTTATGTGGCATTTTTCCCCCTTTTAAAGAGACAGAAAAGGTTGGCTGGATTTAAGAGTACAAATGAATTCAAACTGTGACTTTTATAAGGCAAATCCTACTTTCAACTGCACAAATAATTCCTTCAATTCGATTTTCAAAGAATAATGTCACTAATAGATGTTTATTGCCCAGTAGGTGTGTTCTAGTCTAAAAGGATATGCTTTCCTTTCAAATTCCAGTATTCAATTACCTCCCCAGCCGCGGGGAAAGTGTAAGCTGAGGACTAAACAAGATTAGGAGGAGGCTCTGAAGAAAGAGGGGTAGGGAGATGCAAAGGAAGCCCACTGGGTTTTAATTCTCTATTTAGAATTGGGAATTCTTCCATCAGACACACGATGCCAGTCCTACTTGATCTGAGTATTTTTATCTTCACCCTAGATAATCTTATGTCCTAACATTCCAGGTAATCAGGAGAACCGTCATGTGCTGCCAGAATCATGGGTGTGCCTTCCGAGTTCTAAATAATAGTGTATTAGAGGGATTGACTCAAAATCAAGTATTTCAAAACTGGTGAGTCAATTACACAAATTTCTGGAGGGGAGAGGGAGATACAAATAAACCAGTGGGCAGAAAATACCCCTATTTTAACACCAATGATGAGAGTTTACCTTAGTGTAATTTTATATTTATTCCATTTTTGTACTGGTCTCCCTGAAGATCACACACTGCCTTGTGTAGATCTTCAATTTCCAAACTGACATAAAATTAAAATCAGCTACTTCTTAAGATAATGAGCACTAATCAGTTACAATAACTGAAGTTGATACTAACTCAAAAATTAATTTAATAAGCCTTTAGGCGTGGACTTCACTATTTTGGTGGGGGCATGGTAATCAGAAATCCCATCCTATCCTATATAATAAAAGGCTAATATTGCAAAAAGAGCCAACGGTGGAACAAGATCACTATGATGTGTGCTGACCACCAGGGGGCATGTGTGGAACATGGCGTGTGTTGGCTGCAGTGGGATGGTGGAGGTGAGTGGGGGCGCTAGACCAAAGCAGGGTGCCAGTGGCTATCATGGGGCACGCCTCTGATGGTTACTGAAGACTCTTTGCTCCCACATGACATGGTCCTGTCCAGCACTTGTACCCACTACCGGTGCCTTAGTGGGTACAAGCGGTGGCTGCCAGCCCTGACTGCCCCCCAGGGCTTCTCTACACCCCCCCCACCCCCCCTCCCCGGTTCCTGAGGGGCAATTGGGAGCTGGCAGCCGCCGGTCACACCCACTGACCCACTGATGGCACCAGCCCCACTTGCACCCACTGCTGGTGCTGGACCCAATCGCTCCATGCTGTCAGTGGAGTGGTAGTGACAGGAAAGGCCAGGTGGGGGGGCAGAGGATGGCCAAGACCTGCCCGTGCCCACCGCAGTCTTGCAGCCCACAGTTCAAGGTGTACAAATTCGTGCACTAGGCCCCTGGTAAGGAAATAAAGTCTTGAAAAAACTGTCACACTTAACTTTTTGTCTAAGGAGAGTATTTGAACATTTAGAAAAAATCCCTTTTTTTTCTTAGTTGTTGACATCTCGGTTCTGGCCAAAACCTGTTTAAAAAAAAACAACAAAAAAAAAACCCTTGTTATAAGACACAACAAACAATTGACACAGAGTAAGAAGCAGTGACAACAGGTACAAATGTAGCAAATAATTTCTTGCACTTTTAACTTTTTACTATACTTTTCCTTTTGCTCACACAACCCCAACCATACTAATGTCCTTCCTGTTTTATTAACATAATAGTCCCATTTCTTCACTGGGATCTTTTTTTTTTTTGTCTAAAGTTTTGTACATGTCTCCTTTTCCCCCAGTTGACACCCCCTCAAGCATTCCCACACCAGGCAAGCCCCCACCACCTGTGGTCTGTATCCATTGGTCACGCTAATATGCATGCAGACACTGCACTAGGATCTTAACAGCTGTTCCTTCTGCTAGAACTCTTGCCCACATACTGGCTTGGCTAGAGTTGTTTTTGTTCTAACCTCTCCTCGATGACCCTAGTTTCCCCACTTTCCCATTTACTAAAACAATCCACAATCCCCTTACTTGTTCTATTTTTCTTTCTCCAAAACATAGTTACATATCCATCTTTTTGTTTCTATTATGGATTTTTTTTCTTATTGATTAAAATATTACTTGTGTCCTTTTTCCAATTGACCCCTACCACCCCCACTCCCACCCCCCAGGACAAACCCCTACCCCCCAGTCTTTTCCTTTAGTTATGCTAATACGCATGCATACGAGTCCTTTGGTTGATCTTTTACCACCTCCCCTTCCCCTGCCTTCCCTCTGAGGTAGAGGGTCTGATCAGTGTTTGCCTCTGGACCTATTTTTGTTCATCAGTGTATGTTGTAGCAGTATAAAGCATAGACCTTCAAAGATATTGTCTAATCTTCCTGATATTGAAGTGGGAAAACAGGCACAAGAAGTCGGTGGCAGACCCTGACTAGGATGGGTTTCTACATTGGGTTTGATTCTCTTCCTCAGCTTTGACTGGAAAGTCTCCCCAGATCCTCCCATTATTTACTATCACAGGGCTCCCTGCCAGAAATTTCCTTGAGTTACTGCCATACATGCCTTTTAGAGCTGTTATTTTTTTTTTTTCCAGTGTGAAAAAACACCACATTTCCAGCAGCTTAACCTTGTAAGTACTCCACCAAAATCCCATTAAATGGGGAATGAGATCTGGTGCCAACAGAAACAGCAGCCAACTGTTCAAACTCAATTATTCCACTGAAGCAACTCCTAAGTCCCTCTTGATAAATATTTTATTTGTCACCCAAAAGTCATTTCTATTCCTGAAATTAGAAAATAATGCTGTCACCTTTGCAGGCCATAATCGCTCTTTCCATCTGCACAGGACATACTTGGCGTCCGTCATGATTTGGGCTCATGGGGCACGTGGTCAAGATTAGACACGAAGTGCCTGAGGGTCCGGTGCAAAGGGCCCTGCAACAAAATTTTCAAGGCGGTTTCCCACGTGTTTTGCTGGTGATTTTTACGCCAACCCAACCCTTAAGGCCCACTTTATGGGGGCTTAGCCTCATGTGCAACCCTGCACAGAACTGCACAGAGATACTTGATACCAAAACGAGATGACTTGGCCATGGAACCCAGGATAGCACCTGTTGTTTGTTTTCATAAATAAAATAGCCAAACTCCCACCCCAAAGGCTGTGTCTAGATTGTTTTTTTAACGGCTCCTAAGAAAATCATCTCTATGTTGAAGACTGCCCCGGGACTTCAGCAGGGGAAGCATTTTAAACAAACAAAATCCATAACCCTCCCCCATTTAGGGCGCAGAGCAAAAAAAAAAAAAAAAAAAAATCGGAGGGAAAGGCCTGCTCTGTTAGCCGCCATGTCCCTGAAGGATGGGACAGCTGCAGACGCTCCTTCCATCAATGGGAAAGCTGGCTGGTCTGTCAGCACAAACGGAAAGGGGGCGAGGGGGCATCGTCTGTGTAAAGGAGGGGTTCACCACAGCAGCGAGGGGAGGCCAGACAGCAAAGGCGGGGGTTCAGCGGAGAAGGAGCTTAAGGCAGCAGAAAAGCGGTTTGCACAGCAGAAGGGATTCAGGCAGCAAAGGAGTGGGTCGAGCAGCAGAGGAGGGGTACAAGCGACAGAGGAAGGGACTTGGGGGCAGCCACGGAAGGGCTGCAGGCAGCAGAGTGGGGGCGGGGGGTGCCGGTCAGCAGAGAGGGGGGCTCACGCAGCAGAGGAATTCAGGCAGCAGGGGAGGTCGGGCTGCAGAAGGGGAGGGTCGGGCCATCGGGGAGGTTAGTCGTGAACAGAGGAGCAGCTCAGGTAACAGGGGAAGGGGTTCACGCGGCAGCGCGGGGTCGACGCCCCGAGAAACCCCTTTCGGGGTTCGCTCCTCCCCCACCAGGCACGGCCGCCTCAATCCCCGGTCCCTGCCGATCCGAAAGGTATAGCCCGACGGGGGCTCACCGGACCCCTGGCCTCGCGAGCGCGGCGTCTCCAAGCCCGGCGTGGGGAGCTAGAAGGCCGCGGCGGCCCAACGGCGGTCGCACCCGCGCCGCCCAAGCCGCCGCCGCGGCCGCGGCCCACGCCTGCGCTCACCACCTCCGCGCACCGTGCCGCCGCCGCCGCCGTTCCCGGCCGGGGGCGGAGCCAGTCTCGCGGCGCCGCGGAGTTTCCCCGCCAACGGACCAATGAACCGCGTGCGCCCGCGCCTTCGCCCCGCCCCTTCCGCCGGGCCGCTCGCGAGGCTGGCTGACTGACAGGGGGGCGCGGGACTGGCGGGCGCGGAGTGAGTGAGTGACGGGCGCGGGTGGGCAGGCAGCACGGGGCCGACTCGGCGGGCGGGCGGTCTCCATCTTCCCGGCCGCTTCTCCGCCACAGTTTGTAAGGGGTTTGGGCCTCCAAGATTTTTTGTAAACCCGCCTTGGGGCGCCCGTAGCCTCAGCGGACCCTGAGGGAACCTTCCAGAATCTGGATATAAGTACAACCAATGGACACAAAACTCTGGGGAGAGAGGGTATGTATGGGAGGGAGGGTGATGTTAAAATATGTACACAGATAATAATTTAATAAAAAAGATTAAAAAAAGAATCTGGGAGAGCCTTATTCCTGAAGATCCTCTGCTGAAACAGTTCAAGTTCAGCACCGACCCCCACCTCCCACCCCCACCCCCGCGCACACCCACAAAAGGCGGCCGCGCGTGTTGCAAATAACCTGCTTTCTCAGTCCAGTGCCTGGGGAAGGAGGCTCCTGGAAGGCCGGCGCTCTGTGCAGTCCGTCCAAAGGGCCCGCCTCTCTCTCTATGATGATGTTGGTGTTTTTTTTTCAATTGAAGTAATGTCTTAGAACACGATAATCTCCTCTTGTCCGTGCCCCTCCTCACCCTTGGCATCGTGGCCAAGACCCCCACTGAGGCCTGAAGCCGTGGGAGTGCCAGCCCTCTACACAGATATCCTACCCCCACCCCCGTGCGGTTGGCCCTGACCCAGGCGGGGGGGGGGGCGGTTTGAGGTGTGCAGACCCTGTACCACCGATCCTATACCTTTATCCCCACCCCCCGCCCTTAAGGGAATCGAACCAGTGCGCTCGCCAGCGCTCTAACCATGGAGCCACGCTGGCCAGGGCTCCTTCCTATACCTTTTGGCTCCACCTTTGGCCCTTCGTATCTGTGGATTCAACAACCGGGGTTGGGACCGAAGGGGACCAAAGCTTGCCACCTGAAGCTGCCTTTTGGGCTATTAATTTGAAGCTGGTAAAGAAACAAGTCTCAGAAAGAAACTTTGACCCTCAAACTTCCTGCCCCAGAGATTTCAGAGGCAAAGACCAGCTCCAGGAGGGAAATCTTAGGATGTTGCCTTAGCAGACTAATTTGCATTGACTATGGTGGGTGGGAAGGTGTCAAATGGGGACCTGTTTGCTACCCTCTGTCCCATAGTTTCTGGGCTGCTTAGTAAGAATTACCTACCTTGCTAAAACCGGTTTGGCTCAATGGATAGAGCATCAGCCTGCCGACTGAAAGGTCCCAGGTTTGATTCAGGTCAAGGACATGAACCTTGGTTGCGGGCACATCCCCAGTAGGGGATGTGCAAGAGGCAGCTGATCGATGTTTCTAACTCTCTATTCCTCTCTCTAAAAAAATCAATAAAATATATTAAAAAAAAAAAATTACGTACCTTATGTTCTGCTCTTCCTCAGTTACTTCTAAAATCTAATTCCCTTTCCCCCCCACCTTTTTCTCCTTTGTCCAAAATGTCACATACCCAATACTGCCTCACTGTCTGGAATTTTCATGCTTATGTGAATTCCCCACATGTATGTATTAAAATTTAATTTTCTCTGCCCCTGTTAATTTGATTTCTATAACAGCTGGAAGAATTAACATGGTCAGAGGAGAAATATTTTTGTCCTCACAGTTTGGGCAAGCTGGCTAGAAAAGAATAAAAAACCTGCAGTTGGGAATGTGGAAACACTGGTTTCATCTCAGTTGACTGAACTCGCCAGTGTGAAATCCATGAAGGCCAAGTGTATTTATTGAAAAAAATCCATGAGTAAATGGACCTGTGCAATCCAAACTGATGTTCAAGATGTGAGAATAAACAAGTAATCTTTTCTGTCAAAGAACAGTTTAGACCAAGCATGTCAGACTTTTGGCTGGTGGGCTGCATGCAGGAGTTTGACATGCTTGCTTTAGACAGCCACCATTTTGGACCCATAACTTGCAGCTCCCCTAACGGCCACCATCTTTAAATGGCAAAAGCCAACCTCTCCCTTTGAATTAGCCAATCATGAAAGACTATGAGCCTGTGCTCCCATCAAGCATAAGGGGCAGGTTACCACTGTAAGGATTAAAAAGCTGAGCCACGTGCACCCTCTTGCAGAAGTACAGACATTTGCCTTGCTGCCTGGCATGTCTTGAGTGTGTTTTGTGTTCCACCAGGATCCCTGAATTTGGGGACTCACTTTATTCCTTACAAAGATCAGCAGTACATGAAGTTTAAATTATAAATTAGGTATAGTGAGAGCGTTCCAACTCACCCTCAGGTGGGAACGTATGCACAGGTGACTGGGGTTCCACAGCCAGAGAACTGGACTTATACGGGTTTGCCCACAGTACTTAATTAAGATTGACCAAGCATAAACTAAACACATATTTAGATGACAAATATTAAGATGCACGAATCCCACGGTTTATTTACCAGAATCCTGGTGGTTTCCAGAAGCCTTGGCAGGTCACCTGGAGATCGCACTGACAGACACACACACTGGACAGGAACACGCTGCGGCAGCGTCTCGGGCACGATCGAGGCCTCAGAGGTTCGGCTCACGGGCAGATGACAGCTCACTCGGGCAGAGCTTCACGCAGTATCTCGGACAGGGAGACACGGGAGCGGAGAGAGCACGTCGGGTGGAGGAGCCCTTCGTGGTCTCTGACCAGTGTCCCTAGGTCCCTTTTATGGCCATTTCTGGGTGTTCCCTTGTTTTTCTGGGTGTAACCAATGGGTCTTCAGTGTGTCTTATTGCGGGTCTCACAGGTACTTTTTGCCTCGGTTTCCAACTTTCCAGATAAACACATGTTACGGTGTTCACACAGTTACAACTTTCCAGATAAGCACATGTTAGGGCGTTCACACAATTAGGGGCTCAGAGTCACTTTAAAACTTAAGTTTTACAAAATCGATTTAAGTCACACTGAGTGGAGTTACTTATACTAAGCCTAGAACACATTTCAAATAATTTCTTTTACTTAAACTAAAATCAGAATAAGATCAGAAATACAATTCACACTTAAACTATGAATCACTCAAAGATACAAAACAGGAGAGAATCCAAGATGGCGGCACAGGTAAACACCTAGCCGCAGCCGCACACAACAATTTCAATAAAATACAACTAAAATATAAAATGGACATTACCCAGAACTACAGGAAAGCTGACTGACTGGAAATTCTACAACGAGAAGCAAGGAGAAAACCAGAAGGAAGCGCGGAGGAGCTGGAAAAGCCCAAGGTACTGAGACACGCGGCGCGCGAGGAGAGGACAGAGCTGGAGAGGAAAGGCGGGGCTGCTGAGTGCCTGGCTGGCGTTCCCTAGCAGGAAGGAGATAAAAGCTCCGACTGTGCTGAACCCCAGACCCGACTGCTCTGAACCCCAGTTCTAGGCCAGACCCCGGGGACCCAGGCTCACACAGAGGGAGCTGGACTGTAAGGCAGAACCCCGGGGGAGCAGCGAAAGGAGGTCCAGGAGGCGCGCACATTACGAGCAGAAAAGGGACCGTTGGCTGTGCCGCGGGATTGCCCTGACGGGAAGGAGGCAGGGGCTCCAGACTGCTCTGAATGCCACCTCCAACTCCACTTCCAACTGAACTGAACCCCAATACCGGACTCATTGGGGAAGAGCCTAG